TGAAAATTTTAATTAAGCTTGTGCCGGAGGGACAAGCGTCTATGACGTCTCCTGGCCAAACCCCATTTGGCGGAGCCAGGAGACTGAATTCTTACCCTCGGGGCTCCTCCTGAAACAACAAAAAAAACACTTTGGATGGCCACGTGGAATGTTCGAACGCTCACTACGGAGGAGAGGCTGCCACTGTTCTGTAGGGAGCTGTACCGGTACCACTTGAATCTCTGTGGTATTCAGGAGGTCTGGTGGACTGGTTCTGGCTCCTGCCACCATGAGGGGTGGACAGTCCTCTATTAGGGGCAGGAGACTGCCAAACAACAGGGAGTGGCTCTTCTTCTAAGAAAAGAATGAAGGGGGCGTGGGAGCGTGGCGGTGAGGTGTGGGAAGCGGTAAGCCCCAGGCTACTTTGGGCTTGCCTTCCCATCAACCGGAGGCGAGGAGTGGTGGCCGTGGTTACATATGCCCCCACCGAAGATGAACATCCGTGGAGGGATGCAGGCAAGGCCGATGAGTCAGATACCTTCTATGACCTCCTGTCACAGGTGCTAGCTAAAGTGACCCCTCGGGATAGAGTCATCTTGTTGGGCGACTTCAATGCCCGAGTTGGTCATGATGCTGGCACCTGGTCTAGAGTGATTGGAAGGCATGGGCCAGATCAGCTCAATAACAACGATAGGAGGCTGCTAGATTTTTGTGCAGCCCATGGGCTTGTGATTACCAACATGCTTTTCCGGCATCGGCGCATCCACACAACATCATGGATGCATGCCTTGTCCAAGCAAGAACATCTGCTGCACTACATAGTGATGGAACAGCGGATGCAGGGCCATGTCCTTGACACCAGGACCTACCGTGGAGCTGATCTGCCCTCTGACCATCGACTTGTCATCTGTAAGATGCGCCTGCCATTCTTCCACTCTGGTGGTGGGTGTATACCCAGGACCCCATTCAAACCCAAAGTGGCCAGGTCTCATCAAGGGATGGCTCCCTATTGACCAACCAAGTTACGTATGCCGATGATCTGGTAATTGCTGCTCACTCAGAGGAGGGAGTTGGAGGTGCTGCTGCTGAACCTGGAGCTTGCCGCTAAGAGGTGGGGCCTTACCATCAGCCCCACCAAAACTAAGCACCTGCCTGGGTATTTTATACCATCGGACACTAAACCCCCACAATTCCCAATTGGTGATGGGGCCGTTGTGGAGAGAGTGGAGAGTTTCCCATACCTGGGCAGTGTTCTCATGACTGGCTCTGGTTTGACAGCATAGGTCTCACTCCGAATCAGTCGAGCGGCATTATCTTTTCATCGGCTGTGTAACGCTGTGTGTAAGCTACCTGGTCTGTCGCCCCGCACAAAGCTTCAGGTCTTCTCGGCCACGGTAATTTCCTTCCTTCTCTATGCTTGCGAAACGTGGACCCCCCAAATTGCACATCTTCGCCAGTTAGAAACATTAGGGTGGCCTGCCAGCGATCCATCCTGGGTTTAACCAGGCTGGATTGTGTGAGAAGCTCACAAATCCTTGAAAGATCTGGACAAAGTTCCTTCGGTGAGCTCCTCCGGCAGGCAAGGCTGCGTTGCCCAGCCACCGCATGCCTAAACAGCTTTTGTTCGGTCGGATAGAGGGGGCTAAACGGGCGCGGCACGGGCTGGAGAAGAGATGGAGTGATGTGGTACAGGAGGACCTGGAGCTGAGTGGACTTGCCAATGACTGGTACCAGCGGTGTCAAGATCGGCCTCTGTGGAGGAGGCTCGTGAAGGACGCTATTGGGCAGTTGGAGGCAGTCGCCCTCCAACAACAACTGAGGGTGGAGGAGAGCAGAGCGCCGGGTGGCTAAAGCACAGCAAGTTGGCATAGTAGGGGGCAGTCATCTCAGTCAGTCGACCCGTGGCACCTGGGTCAGCAGGCGTTCGACACTTCACGTGGCCTCTACATGCACATAGCCTGGCACAAGCGTCGTGGTGACGTCACCGCCACAGTGGCGAATGGCGGTTGTTGTGTTCGGGAACGCGTAGCCTCAGGTGTGAGTGTGTGGGGGTAAAAGGGGTCGTCCTGGGGTATAGTGTAAGCACACCGTGTTGTTCAGATATACGCCATGGTGTGAAAGCAGGCAGGGCGGAGCGTGCCTAACAATTTAAGACGAACCAACCGTCCTAAATCACCTCCGTTTTGATATCCGTTACTCTCTCATTAGACTCGACCCACACTTTCCTTGAGCGTGACTTGGCTGACCAACAAAGGTGGATCTTGAAGTAGGCTAGAACCAAAAGCGCCACACTTGTACAGAGCCTTTTGTCAATCCACTGCTGGATGAAGGATTTCACCTGCTAGGTGGGATTTGACCGACGGTTAACTGACCGTCCTTCACCATGCTGGGTCAGCGTATGTTGGTGAAGGCGGGGAGCATAGATGTAGGCGCATAAAAGTACAGTACAACAATTTCCTTTGCTGCACTGTCCTATGCTGTCCACCATATATCCCATTACATTGAAAGGCTCAGCGTCTGAGATCTGATCAAATGTGGTGCATTCCTGGTGGTTTGGTCATAGGTTTTAAACATATATTTAATAATGATTTTTTTTTTATTTATAATACAGATTTTTTTTCTTGGGGGGGGGTTAGATCGTGTAAATATAAATGTGTCATATTCTTAGTTCTTTCGGTAAAGTCACGTTGAAGGGAAACAACAAAATAATAAAATATATATATAACAATAAAAAGTCTCACGACGTTTCGACCATAACACAAACGGTCGTCCTCAGGTGTGTCGGTTTGCATCAATTAATGTATTTTTGAACGTTTATTTATTTATAAAAAAACGTTGGCGTCATGCGCAGCGATTTGGCGCTAACGTTTTTTTATAAGTAAATAATTAAATACACCGTTTAAAAATAAATAAATGTATGCAAACCGACACACCTGAAGACGACCGTTTGTGTTATGGTCGAAACGTCGTGAGAATTTTTATTGTTTTATATATATTATTATTTTGTTGTTTCCCTTCAACGTGACTTTACCGAAAGAACTAAGAATATGAATTACTGCAGTCACGAAAGCTTTAAATCAAAATATAAATGTCGTTAAACCCGCCACCACCCGACACAGCCACGTAAACAAAACGTGCCATTTCGTTACTAGTACAGCACACCGGTGTGTTGGAGTACTGATTGTAAACTAATTGGCACGTTTTGTCTACGTGACAAACCTTACTAATTGGCTGTGTCGGGTGGTGGCGGGTTTAACGACATATTTACGCGATCTGACCCAAAAAAACCTACTATGAATAAAGAGGCTCCTAGTAGTTCGTGTCGTTTCAAAAGTGTTCTATATTTACCCAGCAAAGTCTCACCGAGTATCCAAGACTCTTTTGTCAGAAACGTCTCGCATTGGGATATTTGGTTAATTCCATGAACGAGTGTTTGGTCTGTGCAAGGAAGCTGAAGTGTCCGCTCGGCACGCGCATGGAAGGGGAAATCGCTCGAAGCTTCGCACAGATGGATTCAATACTTCAGTATACCGCCATCTCCTGGCCACCTCGTAGCACTCACTGGCAGTCTCCCAACTTAACACTAAGTAGGCTCAAAGCTGATTAGTTGCGGAGATCTGACGAATTTCGGGCGCTTTCAAGGATGATTTAATCGTCGGCATAATTATATTCAAATTTAAAGGAAATGCCACAGTCCCATGGCAGGGAGCTGTCTCTCGAGAGGGAATCAATACTGGCTCTGACCGCAGTTGTAGTTGCTGAGGGTTGGTGCTCTCATTGAGACGCTGGCTAGGATACAATCCTGACAGCACAACTCCGAACACTCGTTACATCTCACCGATTGTTGTTAGTGCCTGTGTGTAGTAGGGTTAGCGAGATTTGGCGATACTATGGAATATCGTACAAGGTTAATCCACGATCATTGAATCGTCCGATTTTTAAAAATATCACACTAATTATTGTTGCTGATATTTATTGTTACTTCCATGTTTAATGTCTCCATTAAATATGTATTAAGTAATAATGTTCAGGGTAATCATTGAAGTATATATTTTTTAAATGCTATTACCCATTATATTCGTGTAGTGTAAAATGCTCTCCAGATAAATTGGTCTTCATTATCTGATTAAATTATAGAGTTGCATTGATTAGGAAGACTCGTGGCAGGGTTACGCTGAGTGAATTGCAGTTGGGAAACTATTGCAGTGACCCTTTATTAACATTCGTGAGTAGTCTCTTTATTGGCCCTGTAAGTACGGTGCACGCGAAATACTTAAAACACAAATGCGAAATACAATCGCAGATTCGTGAGAAACGGATTTCGCGATGACCTTCGTATCGGGAATGTTTACATCGTATTTTATTTTCTAATCTCGTTTTTATACTTTTAACTTTTAAAATACTTTTTACCATTCTGTGTATCTCAAATGTGAATTATGTAATGTTACGGTAATATGTGAAGCCCTCTGACGATTCCATGGTGGTGAGGGACACTGTTAAATAATAAAGTTTGATTGAAGAAAGTTGATTTCGCGGCAACCCTGCCATGCAGTGAAGGCGCGGAAGGAATTCACGGTGTCCTCTTCATGGTTAAATTCACTCTTCACGTTCACTCTTCACGTTCGCTCTGCATGTTCACTTCACATTCGCTCTTTAAATTCACTATTTATATTCACTCTTTAAATCCATTATTTAAATCCACTCTTTAAATCCACTCTTTTAATCCACTCTTCACATTCACTCTTCCCAATGCTATCTTACTACCTCGCTTTTATTTTCCTCCTGATTTAGCAATATGTACATATTGTGTCCCACGCCAAATAATGATCTTTTGTTTAGTGAAGTAATTGAACCGTGATTTTTGCTCCGCTCAGTTTTATCTTGGGCCAAACTTTGCAGCCTACTCTGAGATCTTCGGTCGTTTACCGTGGTTATAATTAACGGGCATTTTTGTTGTTTTTACGTCATTAACAAATAGTATACGAGTGTATTTTTAATGATGTATTTTATTTTTCCTACAGGGAAATAAGGAAAATCAGGAAGGTGTCGAGACGTGGACAGGTGAGCAGCTGGATCTGAAGATCTTCATATCTATTACACAATTCCCCATGCCTCCGATTAGCAAACTTGGCGACGTACGGCGCGAACGAAGTTCAATACACATACACGCATACGATATTTCACTTGGACAGAATGCAGCTGTTAAACACACGGTGCAGGTACGGTCTGTTTGTCGGTCCACTGCTGGATGAGGGCCTTCCCACGCCGTGGGGGTTATTTGACCGCACGTCATCACCACGCCTGTCGATGCGGGTTGGCGAAGGATGGGGGGGGGGGCGTAGACGTTTGAGTGTAGTAGAGTACAACAATGCGATTTTGCTCCATTGCCCTCTGCTGCCCACAGTGGAGCACAGGCCCACGGCCGCCTCCAGCAGAACCTGTGACGTGCATGGTGACAGCCCATCCAAACACCATCCAGGCTCGAAGTCTGCTTAGCTTGCAATATCTGATGAGTTGGGGCGCGTCTGTTGAGTAATTCATACAACAAAAAGGCAGCTAAGAAATATAGCAATGCAATAATAATAATATTAAGATGTGTCATAAAATGTCTACATTAAGAATGAGTGTTACAGCGGTTAATATGTAGCCCTATGAGCCCGCGAACCTGAGTTTAACCCCAGCCACGGCTAACATCAATGGCGAGTGATATCTGGACCAGTCCTGGGCACTGACCAGCGTGGTGAAGTATGGTCAAACAACCCTTACGGCCAACACGGAGTGACAAGACCTTCACCCAGCAGTGAACTGACAAATTAACTTTGGGTATTTTTAATTGTAATTGCCGTACCGTATATTATTTGACTTCACCACCTATCCACAATTAGCGTGCGAATATTCAGTTATGTGTTTGTTTGTTTGTTTTTAAACACTCAAATATATATTTTGCAATCGTGCTATCGCTGTCGTGCATTGAGATTTTTCGCAGCTAGGCAGTGCACCACCCTGAGTCAGACAGCGGTGTCCGAACATGTCACCCCACCTGCCTGTCCTGTCAGCCCCTTGTCAGTGCCCAATCTTATTATAAACCAGCTCAGACCTCATTGGTCACCCCGTGCCCTTATACGTCTCAACGTTCATCCGACAAAGTCCCAGTACAAGGAGAGAAACACAAACAAATAGGACAAACACACGTTTTTTTTTTGCCCGTATTGAAACGGCTGTACGCCGGATGGACCTGAAAACTCAATTCCCCTGCACAAGAATGTGGGATAAGCCGCATGGGTTGACGGCTGTGTGTTACGGACTTGTGAAGTCATTGAAATCACGTTGCAAATGTTTGGAGGTGGGGGGAGGGGCGATGCTGCTGTTGGCAGTGATGAACAAACACCAGCATCATCAACAACAACAAAATCCCCCAAAATATTTCCGCCAATAACTTTGAAGGCCTCTTGTTGAACCCATGCGTGGCACAATCCCTGTCGAGGCTCTCTGCAAGAGCAGAGTGCGCGGGGATTGCCGCCGTGGTGTGGCAAAGCACGCAGGCCCGAGATGGTTGGGGCTGCTGGTCAATATCACCTCCTCCTGCTAATGTCGCTCGGCAGGTTTTGCCAAGGAGCGCCACGAGGCTGTGCAAGGCGGCAGGCAGAGGACGCATCAGGTACCGGCAGCAGAACCATCCCCCCCCCACCACCACCACCATCCACCACCACCCACCATCTCCCACTCCCCACCACCACCACCCCCCGAACCACCACCCCCCGAACCACCACCCCCCGAACCACCACCCCCCGAACCACCACCCCCACCACCATCCCCCACCACCATGCCCCACCCCCCACCACCACCCCCCACTACCACCCCCCACCACCACCCCCCACCACCACCCACCCCCCACCACCAACCCCACACCACCATCCCCAGGGGGTGACCAAGAAGGTCTGAATTGGTCTGTAACAAGGTAGGCACTGATAAGGGGTTGACAGGTATGTATAATTGCAAGCTGTGTCGTGATCTGCATGCAGACTGCTGTTGCTGCTGCCCCTCGGGCGATACAGCAAGTGTGGGCTAATCTCCATCTGTTCCATCTGTGTGGGATAGAGTGTTGCCCTCTCGCATGAGACAGTGGGTTTTCTCCGTGTGTTCTGGTTTCCGCAGCCCACAATTAACACCACTGTGCCCACAATTAACACGCTGCCAAGAATTAACACGATGCCCACAATTAACACGCTGCCCACAATTAACACGGTGACCACAATTAACACGCTGCCCACAATTAACACGGTGACCACAATTAACACGCTGCCCACAATTAACACAGTGACCACAATTAATACGCTGCCCACAATTAACACGGTGACCACAATTAACACCACTGTGCCCACAATTAACACAGTGACCACAACACGGTGACCACAATTAACACCACTGTTCCCACAATTAACACAGTGACCACAATTAACACGGTGACCACAATTAACACCACTGTGCCCACAATTAACACGCTGCCCACAATTAACACGCTGCCCACAATTAACACCACTGTGCCCACAATTAACACCACTGTGCCCACAATCAACACCACTGTGCCCACAATTAATACCACTGTGCCCACAATTAACACGCTGCCACAATTAACACCACGGTGCCCACAATTAACACCACTGTGCCCACAATTAACACCACTGTGCCCACAATTAACACGCTGCCCACAATTAACACCACTGTGCCCACAATTAACACCACTGTGCCCACAATTAACATGCTGCCCACAATTAACACCACTGTGCCCACAATTAACACGGTGACCACAATTAACACGCTGCCCACAATTAACACCACTGTGCCCACAATTAACACCACTGTGCACACAATTAACACCACTGTGCCCACAATTAACACGGTTGCGTGACCGACTGCAGGTGACGAGCGGATTCCCGAGGAGCATCAGCAGCACGCGGTCACTCAACTCCGACCGGGGCTCGGTTGGTCACTCTCGGTGAGGGCGCGTTGCGATCCCTCGTCCCCCTGCGCGATGCGTCGGGGGCCAAACAGCGGTGCGCGTGAACCCAATTGGTCACGATTCGTTGTTACAAAAACAATTTCACCTGGAATAATGACGACCTCGTGCGCAAGAGGTGCGGGGGAGGTGTCCAGGGTATCAAGCGACGCGTACGCGGCAAAGGCATCGTGGACTCGTAGTGGGCTCGTAAAGAAAACATTTGAACATCCGCAGCCTATACAGTAATACAGTATACATGAATACAGTGTACATTCCGATTTAAAGCTTTCGTGACTGCAGGGATTCATCTTCTTGGTTCTTTCGGTAAAGTCACGTAGAAGGGAAATAATAAAATAATAAAAATAACATAAAATTCTCACGACGTTTTGGCCACAACACAAGTAGCCTTCCTCAGGTGAAGAGACAGAACTGTCGGGAAGACAACGCTCCGATGAACACTGCCAAGCTTGGCAGCGTATTTTAAGCTGGGTGGGATGAGCAGAGCGCCTTGACAAAGGAGTTTACATATCAACAGAAGAATTTAGCATTGAAGTAGCTATGTTAATGTGATAGATTTGCAGGATGTTAAAGTCAGAAAATAGCATGTAACTGGGAGATTAGCATGATGTTAGTGTGAGGGATTAGCATGTAACTGGTCACGGAAGTAGCTATGTTAAAGTCAGAGTTTACATATCAACAGAGGCATTTAGTATATTGACGCTAAATAACTGCAACTACCCAACTATCATACAATAAACCGATGTGAAAAAAACTAAATATAAACTACATCAATATAATCAATGTACTCAATATATTCTCCAATAAGCTGAGCTATTAACAAAGTAACTGGGTATACACTACAATAAATAATGAATACCATATAGTAAACTGATTAAAAAAACTAAAATATAAACTACATCAATATTATCAATAAACTCAATATACTCTCCAATCAGCTGAGCTACTAACAATAAGTCATTATACATTACAATTATACGTCGAAAAAAGTGGCGGGTTTTTTTCTTTTTGTCCTCAACGTTAGCACCACGGAAAGCGACGAGCTTTGTTCAGATGGACGAGTCCATCTATGCTCGGAACGGAGGAGGGGGGAGAGAGAGAGAAACAGCCACGATGCGCTGCTCTGTCCTGTGATGCATTACAACTATGCTACAAACTAGACTACTATGCATTACAATATTATACCTTCCAATCTAAACTACATTGTATAATATCGTATACACAGCGCAATGTAAGCTCTAACATTATGCATTATATTTATATGCCTCCAACTAAACTTTTTTCTAAATTACACGACTATACACCGTAACATACACTGCCATAGACAAACCCCACCATTGACTTATACAATGCGTTACTATACACTACCCTATAAATTATACTATACAAATATTAGACTTGTAATATTATACTATGTATTATTCTACCAATCCTACTCTATACCACACTGCTGTATATTCACTATACAATTACGGTACTATATTGCCTTATGAATTATGTTAAACATTACACTGTTATACTATTTATTATTATACAGTATGCTATAAACCATACCATTGACCGTCGTGTGAAATGTATTAAGAGGCAGTGCCAGCGAATGGACTGCGGTCTGAAAGTCACCGTAAAATACAATCAATCAAGAACCGAAATGGTTTATCACGTCTTTCCAATGATTACTAAGCCAGAATCCATCTTCTCGGTTGAAATTGTCTCTGTGTTCGTATATGTGGATGGCCTCATGAACGAATCTCTCATGGTAGCCGGCTATACAAACACAGGGCATAGTTGTAACGCAACACAGGACAGAGCAGCGCATCGTGGCTGTTTCTCTCTCTCTCCCCCCTCCCCCGTTCTGAGCATAGATGGACTCGTCCGTCTGAACAAAGCTCGTCACTTTCCGTGGTGCTAACGTTGAGGAAAAAATTAAATAAAAGAAACTGCCACTTTTTTCGACGTAGAATTGTAATGTATAATGACTTATTGTTAGTAGCTCAACTGATTGGAGAGTATATTGAGTTTATTGATAATATTGCTGTAGTTTCTATTTTAGTTTTTTTATCAGTTTACTATATGGTATTCATTATATAGTGTAGTGTATACCCAGTTACTTTATGTTAAAAGCTCAGCTTATTGGAGAATATATTGAATACATTGATTATATTGATGCAGTTTATATTTAGTTCTTTCACATCGGTTTATTGTATGATAGTTAGGTATTTGCAGTTATTTAGCGTCAATATACTAAATGCCTCAGTTGATATGTAAACTCTGACTTTAACATAGCTACTTCCGTGACCAGTTACATGCTAATCCCTCACACTAACGTCATGCTAATCTCCCAGTTACATGCTAATTTCTGACTTTAACATCCTGCTAATCTATCACATTAACACAGCTACCTCAATGCTAAATTCATCTGTTGATATGTAAGCTCCTTTGTCAAGGCGCTCAGCTTAAAATACGCTGCCAAGCTTGGCAGTGTTCATTGGAGCGCTGTCTTTCCAACAGTTCTGTTTCTTCACCTGAGGAAGGCTACTTGTGTTGTGGCCGAAACGTCGTGAGAATTGCATTTTATTATGTAATTTTTATTATTATTTTATTAATTCCCTTCTACGTGACTTTACCGAAAGAACCAAGAAGACAGTATACATTGTTACATTATATATTATTACGGTATACATTATTGCAGAATACATGAACACATCGAGCAACGTTGTACCATGGCTGCACCATTGGATGAGCAGCGAGAGTCAAGGATGCCGACGCATGAGAGCCGCGGAATCAAATCATGGAAGGGGAAAATAAAAATAACAAATATTGGAAAATGAGAGCATATGGATGGTCTGGGAACGGAGAAACAGAAGCAAAGAGATGAGAATTGGAGGAAGAGGCTGCATTCGGGTCACGGAGCTTATGCGTGTACTGTAGAGGCGTCTGTTTTCAGAGGGGGCGGTGACGGGGGAGAGGGATTCAGTGTGGGACTGGTCACACAAGGAGTCACGCGTTCTCCCGGAGGCTTGATCTGCTTTTTAAATAGATACCTATAGAGCACATAGATGAACATCACACGGCAAACGTGTTAATAAATGCATGAGTAATGGTGCACACCCCCGATTCGTACAGAAGTGCATCGTATTGAACGTTTTGAATGCCTCGAGGCTGGTGTGTACACACCTTCGCGTATCCGCATCTCCTCCCTGCGGTGTTTGAACAAAAGCCCATCGCACACTTCGCTGTGAACCGTGCCACCCCAGTTCTTATTCCAGCCATGGTGGTGAGTCCGGTCCTGGGGAAGCATGAACGTGGATTCCCTCCCACCCACCCATAGTGTAAAGGGGAAAGTCCTCCCCATATATATGTGACTCGCCAGAGGCGTATGGCAGAAGTGAATGATTGTGTAATAGACGAATGTGCTGTACTGATATACGGATGAAAACCGGTCCGAAAATGTGTCTTTGTTTCACTGGCTGCCTGTCGGTTGACCACATTTTCTCCACCTCTCTGAGCCGGTGATCTGAAACGACGACACAGCCACACGCGCAGTTCTTTTGAGCTGGTGGTCTGGGTATATGTATGTACGTTGAACTTCTTTGGCACCGTACGTAGCAAAACCTTGCTCTTCGGAGATGCAGGAGGGAAACAAAAAAAATTACACACAAAAAGCAGTTCTAAAGAAAAGAGTTTCCTTTCCATATTGAGAAGTGCATAGCTCCAGGGGCTCCCTAATATAGTAAGAAAGAGCGTTCCAGACGGCCACAGAAGAGTATCTGAAAGCGCGGATGCGGTGACCGTCTTTGTTCGATGTCGAGCCAAAAGCTGCGGCGAGGATGACCGGGAGTTCGCGTGATGGTTTATGATCCTTGGCGAGATCAGAAAGGTTATTGTGGCTCATTTGTGGCGAGCACTTTGTGCGTGTACTGAGTGCCGCCTTGGATAAGGCTGTCAGTTTTTCCGACATGCAATGCCGCACAAACCCCTCGCGCGCTGTAACATCGACCATGTGTTGCAGCAAGGGACCTGCGGCCGGCAAGAGCACCGGGTCATTCACACGGGCACAGAAGGCAACCGGGGAGAGTCAGGGAGACACAGCTGCTTGCGACGATGGTGAGAAACTCACAGTGAGCACCCCCTGCCCGCCACCGAAAACGCCATGCGCTCACAAGAATCCGTGCTCGTGCGCAGCCATTTCTGTCGACCCATTTGCTGGACGAGGGCCTCCCAACGCCGTGCGGATTGTTTTGAGTTGCTTGACCATACTTCACCACGCTCGTCAGTGCGAGTTGGTGATGGCAGGTGACCATAGACATTGAAGCATAGTACAGTGGAACAATGGGCTTTGCTACATTGGCGTCTGCTGGCAATGTAGCCCCACGGCCGCATACGAAACCAGTTCAGAATTATAATCTTTATTCATTCTGGAGGAATCCCATGAGCTATGAAGCTCTTTTTCACCGATGTCCAGCAGGGACGAGTCAGCAAGCTACAACAAACAATAAAAAAGATAGGATAGTTGTAAGTGTGGTGGTGGTGGTCGCCCATCCAAGTCCCACGCAGGCTCAACTCTGCTTAGCCTTCTGAGATCTGACGAGATCGGGCACATTGTGGGTGGTTTGTTCAAAGACTGCGGGTACCGCCCTCAGCTGTGCCGCTTTGGCAGGGACATCAAACGCAAGCGTTGCTACTCCAGCGCGTGTCGCGGTGATGGCAGACTTGAGCCAGCGGTGGACATTCCACATTCCTGTTGCATGGGCCGGCCTATCCATTGAACAGCAGCACTGTTGACCTGCCACAGCATTGTATGGATAATTTCTATTGATTCTGGGAGGATGATGGACGGTGTTGAACTTAACCACAGTTATGTGAACTTGCCACATTCCGACTGTTACAGTCCACTCTTGTGCACGTACAAACTGCATAGCCTGTAAGGTGGCTGAGTAGCTCAATGTCAAGAGCGATGTGACAGCACTGCTGGGTCCTGAGTTCAAATGCAGGTTTTTAGATGCCCGTGATTAAACTGGGTTCTCAAATGTCATGAGTTAGTAATGACTGCACCGACATAATTAAGTCATCTTTACCACGCAGGCTTTCGCGAACAATATCATCAATAATGCAGGTTTTTTTGGGTTAGAGCGCGTAAATATATAAATGTGTTGTTAAACCCGCCACCACCCGACACAGCCAATAAGTAAGGTTTGTCATTTGGATAAATCCTCCTGTTTCGTTCCCTCTATTTAAGGAATGAAACAGGAGGATTTCTCCACAAATCTGGCTGTCAACTAATGAAGCTAGTTGTAATTACTAGCGAAACGTCGTACTCAGATTGTAATGTTGTGGCTTGGCTCTCCAACACACCGGTGTGCTGTAATAGTAATGAATTGGCCAAGTTCTGTTTACGTGACAAACTTTACTAATTGGCTGTGTCGGGTGGTGGCGGGTTTAATGATGCCACATTTATATATTTAAACGATCTAACCCAAAACACCTGCATTGTGGATGTCACTTGATTCGTATAAATTCCACTTCTAAGAAGGAGAAAAAAATATTTTATTCACGACCGTGTGGCGAACGCCGTTGAGAATGTGCAGCATTGCCTTGTGTGGATAAGAGACAATTAAACTATAAACCAGTGAAACTATGAACTATTTTTTAAACTTTGTTTTTTATTTTACCAGGTAAGGTCCACTGAGCTAAGTAACTCTTTCTCAGAAGCGACCTGGCTACAAATTATATCTCAATGAAGCGGCTTATCGCATGGAAATTTATAGCAACCAAATACTCCAGGCATGTTTTTAAATGTGGAGGGAAAACCCGGAGGACTCGGAGAAAAATTCCACGCGACCACGGGGAGAACATGCAAGCTCCAAATATACAGGCGTCAGGGTCAGGATCGAACCCACGACCTCTTGTATACGAGGCTATGTAGTCAACATCTCGCCACCGTGGCACCACAGTTAACAATAACCTCAGAAGTTGTTCTGTGATGTAATATTCCAGAAGTGGTCCTCTAACACGTCTCTAACACGGGGGCGATGTTAGACTTGTCAAATTAAACTCGTAGAACAATTGTAATATAAAATGGCAATGCAATGGGCTTGTTTCACCCAGTAAACCCTCACTGTCTCCCATTACTTTTTCAGAAAAGGTTCTAATAAGTGTTTTGCCGGTAGGGATCGCTTATTCTTGTGTAGACTGAAAGTTGGAAAGTTTGGACCGTGTTTGTGCAAATAATATATAAATATACAATAAACATATTAGCTCTATAGTCGACTTCAGGGCAGTTCGGGGATTTTTTTTTTCTATTTCTAAACCAAATTTACGTTACCAATTATTTTCTGCTGTGTTCTCATGACAGGTAACACATCAAACTGTACAACGCCAAATCCCTCATCTGCGGACGCGATTGGAAATAATGACGTTACAAGTGGGAGGTCGGACGCTTCCAAAGTCCTTCTGGAAACTTCCGCCACGGTGTCGACACCAACTGCACCGCAGCAAATGCCCTCCTCTCCCAAAGCAGAAACTTCGCCAACAACAACAACGACAACAAACGTTCCGACATCACCAGGTTCCATTCAAACGGCTGCCTCGCCTGCTCAGACATCAACTGAAACATCTCCTACATCTTCTGCATTGGCCTCAACCCCTGAAGCATCAGTGCCACCAGTGTCTGAAGATCACTTGCCCTCAACAGGGGTGATAAATTGGGCGACATTTGCCGAAACCTCCAGTCATACCTTATCAACATCAGTTGCAGCATCTGACGGAGCCCCTGTATCATCTGGCACTGAAATCACATCTCCAGAATCACAGTACACAGGATCAGCACTGTCTAGTTCTCCTTTATCATCTATCACTGATATCACATCTCCAGAATCACAGTACACAGGATCAGCACTGTCTAGTTCTTCTGTGTCAACTGCGACTGATATCACATCTCCAGAATCACAGTACACAGGATCAGCACTGTCTAGTTCTTCTGTATCATCTACCACTGATATCACATCTCCAGAATCACAGTACACAGGATCAGCACTGTCTAGTTCTGCTTTATCATCTATCACTGATATCACATCTCCAGAATCACAGTACACAGGATCAGCACTGTCTAGTTCTCCTGTATCATCTGCGACTGATGTCACATCTCCAGAATCAAAGTACACAGGATCACCACTGTCTAGTTATTCTGTGTCATCTGCGACTGATATCACATCTCCAGAATCACAGTACACAGGATCAGCACTGTCTAGTTCTTCTGTGTCAACTGTGACTGATATCACATCTCCAGATTCACAGTACACAGGATCATCACTGTCTAGTTCTTCTGTGTCATCTGCGACTGATATCACATCTCCAGAATCACAGCACACAGGATCAGCATTGTCTAGTTATTCTGTGTCATCTGCGACTGATATTACATCTCCAGAATCACAGCACACAGGATCACCACTGTCTAGTTCTGCTTTATCATCTATCACTGATATCACATCTCCAGAATCACAGTACACTGGGTCACCACTGTCTAGGTCTTCTGTGTCATCTGCGACTGATATCACATCTCCAGAATCACAGTACACAGGATCAGCACTGTCTAGTTCTGCTTTATCATCTATCACTGATATCACATCTCCAAAATCACAGTACACTGGGTCTCCACTGTCTAGTTCTTCTGTGTCATCTGCGACTGATATCACATCTCCAGAATCACAGTACACAGGATCAGCACTGTCTAGTTCTGCTTTATCATCTATCACTGATATCACATCTCCAGAATCACAGTACACAGAATCACCACTGTCTAGTTCTTCTGTGTCATCTGCGACTGATATCACATCTCCAGAATCACAGTACACAGGATCAGCACTGTCTAGTTCTGCTTTATCATCTATCACTGATATCACATCTCCAGAATCACAGTACACAGGGTCACCACTGTCTAGTTCTTCTGTGTCATCTGCGACTGATATCACATCTCCAGAATCACAGTACACAGGATCAGCACTGTCTAGTTCTCCTGTATCATCTGCGACTGATGTCACATCTCCAGAATCACAGTACACAGAATCACCACTGTCTAGTTCTCTTGTATCATCTGCGAGTGAGATCACATCTCCAGAATCACTGTACACAGGATCACCATTGTCTAATTCTTCTGTGTCATCTACCACTGATATCACATCTCCAGAAGCACAGTACACAGGATCAGCACTGTCTAGTTCTGCTTTATCATATATCACTGATATCACATCTCCAGAATCACAGTACACAGGGTCACCTCTGTCTAGGTCTTCTGTGTCAACTGCGACTGATATCACATCTCCTGAATCACATTGCACAGGATCAACACTGTCTAGTTCTGCTTTATCATCTATCACTGATATCACATCTCCAGAATCACAGTACACAGGATCACCACTGTCTAGTTCTCCTGTATCATCTGCGACTGATATCACATCTCCAGAATCACAGTACACAGGATCAGCACTGTCTAGTTCTCCTGTATCATCTGCGACTGATATCACATCTCCAGAATCACAGGACACAGGCTCACAACTGTCTAGTTCTTCTGTGTCATCTGCGACTGATATCACATCTCCAGAATCACAATCCACAGGATCACCACTGTCTAGTTCTTCTGTGTCATCTGCGACTGATATCAAATCTCCAGAATCACAGTACACAGGATCACCACTGTCTAGTTCTTCTGTATCATCTATCACTGATATCACATCTCCAGAATCACAGTACACAGAATCACCACTGTCTAGTTCTCCTGTATCATTTGCGACTGATATCACATCTCGAGAATCACAGTACACAGGATCACCACTGTCTAGTTCTTCTGTATCATCTATCACTGATATCACATCTCCAGAATCACAGAACACAGGATCAGCACTGCCTAGTTCTGCTTTATCATATATCACTGATATCACATCTCCAGAATCACTGTACACAGGATCACCACTGTCTACTTCTTCTGTGTCATCTGCGACTGATATCACATCTCCAGAATCACAGTACACAGGATCAGCACTGTCTAGTTCTGCTTTATCATATATCATTGATATCACATCTCCAGAATCACAGTACACAGGACCACCAATGTCTAGTTCTCCTGTATCATCTCTCACTGATATCACATCTCCAGAATTACAGTACACAGGATCAGCACTGTCTAGTTCTCCTGTATCATCTGCGACTGATATCGCATCTCCAGAATCACAGGACACAGGATCACCACTGTCTAGTTCCTCTGTATCATCTGCGACTGATATCACATCTCCAGAATCACAGTACACAGGATCACCACTGTCTAGTTCTTCTGTATCATCTATCACTGATATCACATCTCCAGAATCACAGTACACAGAATCACCACTGTCTAGTTCTGCTTTATCATCTATCACTGATATCACATCTCCAGAATCACAATACACAGAATCACCACTGTCTAGTTTTTCTGTGTCATCTGCGACAGATATCACATCTCCAGAATCACAGTACACAGGATCAGCACTGTCTATTTCTTCTGTGTCAACTGTGACTGATATCACATCTCCAGAATCACAGTCGACAAGATCAGCACTGTCTAGTTCTGCTTTATCATCTATCACTGATATCACATCTCCAGAATCACAATACACAGGATCAACACTGTCTAGTTCTTCTGTATCATCTATCACTGATATCACATCTCCAGAATCACAGTACACAGAATCACCACTGTCTAGTTCTGCTTTATCATCTATCACTGATATCACATCTCCAGAATCACAGTACACAGAATCACCACTGTCTAGTTCTTCTGTGTCAGCTGCGACTGATATCACATCTCCAGAATCACGGCACACAGGATCAGCACTGTCTAGTTTTGCTTTATCATCTATCACTGATATCACATCTCCAGAATCAGAGCACACAGGATCACCACTGTCTAGTTCTCCTGTATCATCTGCGACTGATATTACATCTCCAGAATCACAGGACACAGGATCACCACTGTCTAGTTCTTCTGTGTCATCTGCGACTGATATCACATCTCCAGAATCACAGTACACAGGATCAGCACTGTCTAGTTCTTCTGTGTTAACTGTGACTGATATCACATCTCCAGAATCACAGTACACAGAATCACCACTGTCTAGTTCTTCTGTGTCATCTGCGACTGATATCACATCTCCAGAATCACAGTACACAGGATCAGCACTGTCTAGTTTTGCTTTATCATCTATCACTGATATCACATATCCAGAATCACAGTACACAGGATCAACACTGTCTAGTTCTTCTGTATCATCTATCACTGATATCACATCTCCAGAATCACAGTACACAGAATCACCACTGTCTAGTTCTGCTTTATCATCTATCACTGTTATCACATCTCCAGAATCCCAGTACACAGAATCACCACTGTCTAGTTCTTCTGTGTCATCTGCGACTGATATCACATCTCCAGAATCACAGTACACAGGATCAGCACTGTCTAGTTTTGCTTTATCATCTATCACTGATATCACATCTCCAGAATCAGAGTACACAGGATCACCACTGTCTAGTTCTCCTGTATCATCTGCGACTGATATCACATCTCCAGAATCACAGTACACAGGATCAGCACTGTCTAGTTCTCCTGTATCATCTGCGACTGATATTACATCTCCAGAATCACAGGACACAGGATCACCAATGTCTAGTTCTTCTGTGTCATCTGCGACTGATATCACATCTCCAGAATCACAGTACACAGGATCAGCACTGTCTAGTTCTTCTGTGTTAACTGTGACTGATATCACATCTACAGAATCACAGCACACAGGATCACCACTGTCTAGTTCTTCTGTGTCAACTGTGACTGATATCACATCTCCAGAATCACAGTACACAGGATCAGCACTGTCTAGTTCTGCTTTATCATCTATGACTGATATCACATCTCCAGAATCACAGTACACAGAATCACCACTGTCTAGTTCTTCTGTATCATCTACCACTGATATCACATCTCCAGAATCACAGTACACAAAATCACCACTGTCTAGTTCTGCTTTACTATCTATCACTGATATCACATCTCCAGAATCACAGTACACAGGATCACCACTGTCTAGTTCTTCTGTGTCAGCTGTGACTGATATCACATCTCCAGAATCACAGTACACAGAATTACTACTGTCTAGTTCTGCTTTACTATCTATCACTGATATCGCATCTCCAGAATCACAGTACACAAAATCATCACTGTCTAGTTCTGCTTTATCATCTATCACTGATATTACATCTCCAGAATCAGAGTACACTGGATCAGCACTGACTAGTTCTTCTGTGTCAACTGTGACTGATATCACATCTCCAGAATCACAATCCACAGGATCAGCACTGTCTAGTTCTCCTGTATCATCCGCGACTGATATCACATCTCCAGAATCACAGTACACAGGATCACCACTGTCTAGTTCTCCTGTGTCATCTGCGACTGATATCACATCTACAGAATTACAGTACACAGGATCAGCACTGTCTAGTTCTGCTTTATCATCTATCACTGATATCACATCTCCAGAATCACAGTACACAGAATCACCACTGTCTAGTTCTTCTGTGTCATCTGCAACTGATATCACATCTCCAGAATCACAGTACACAGGATCAGCACTGTCTAGTTCTCCTATGTCATCTGCGACTGATATCACATCTCCAGAATCACAGTACACAGGATCACCACTGTCTAGTTCTTCTGTATCATATATCACTGATATCACATCTCCAGAATCACAGTACACAGGATCAGCACTGTCTAGTTCTTCTGTGCCAACTGTGACTGATATCACATCTCCAGAATCACAGTACACAGGATCAGCACTGTCTAGTTCTGCTTTATCATCTATCACTAATATCACATCTCCAGAATCACAGTACACAGGATCACCACTGTCTAGTTCTTCTGTGTCAGCTGTGACTGATATCACATCTCCAGAATCACAGTACACAGAATCACCACTGTCTAGTTCTGCTTTACTATCTATCACTGATATCACATCTCCAGAATCACAGTACACAGAATCATCACTGTCTAGTTCTGCTTTATCATCTATCACTGATATCACATCTCCAGAATCAGAGTACAGTGGATCAGCACTGACTAGTTCTTCTGTGTCAACTATGACTGATATCACATCTCCGGAATCACAGTACACAGGATCACCACTGTCTAGTTCTTCTGTGTCAACTGTGACTGATATCACATCTCCAGAATCACAATCCACAGGATCAGCACTGTCTAGTTCTCCTGTATCATCTGCGACTGATATCACATCTCCAGAATCACAGTACACAGGATCACCACTGTCTAGTTCTCCTGTGTCATCTGCGACTGATATCACATCTCCAGAATCACAGTACACAGGATCAGCACTGTCTAGTTCTGCTTTATCATCTATCACTGATATCACATCTCCAGAATCACAGTACACAGAATCACCACTGTCTAGTTCTTCTGTGTCATCTGCAACTGATATCACATCTGCAGAATCACAGTACACAGGATCAGCACTGTCTAGTTCTGCTTTATCATCTATCACTGATATCACATCTCCAGAATCACAGTACACAGAATCACCACTGTATAGTTCTTCTGTGTCATCTGCAACTGATATCACTTCTCCAGAATCACAGTACACAGGATCAGCACTGTCTAGTTCTGCTTTATCATCTATCACTGATATCACATCTCCAGAATCACAGTACACAGAATCACCACTGTCTAGTTCTTCTGTGTCATCTGCGCCTGATATCACATCTCCAGAATCACAGTACACAGGATCAGCACTGTCCAGTTCTGCTTTATCATCTATCACTGATATCATATCTCCAGAATCACAGTACACAGGATCATCCCTGTCTAGTTCTCCCGTGTCATCTGCGACTGATATCACATCTCCAGAATCACAGTACACAGGATCAGCACTGTCTAGTTCTGCTTTATCATCTATCACTGATATCACATCTCCAGAATCACAATCCACAGGATCACCACTGTCTAGTTCTTCTGTGCCAACTGTGACTGATATCACATCTCCAGAATCACAGTACACAGGATCAGCACTGTCTAGTTCTGCTTTATCATCTATCACTGATATCACATCTCCAGAATCACAGTACACAGAATCACCACTGTCTAGTTCTTCTGTATCATCTACCACTGATTTCACATCTCCAGAATCACAGTACACAGAATCACCACTGTCTAGTTCTACTTTATCATCTATCACTGATATCATATCTCCAGAATCACAGTACACAGGATCATCCCTGTCTAGTTCTCCCATGTCATCTGCGACTGAAATCACATCTCCAGAATCACAGTACACAGGATCAGCACTGTCTAGTTCTGCTTTATCAACTATCACTCATATCACATCTCCAGAATCACAGTACACTGGATCACCACTTTCTAGTTCTTCTGTGTCATCAGCGACTGATTTCACATCTCCAGAATCAGAGTACACTGGATCAGCACTGTCTAGTTCTTCTGTGTCAACTGTGACTGATATCACATCTCCAGAATCACAGTACACAGGATCAGCACTGTCTAGTTCTGCTTTATCATCTATCACTGATATCACATCTCCAGAATCACAGTACACAGAATCACCACTGTCTAGTTCTTCTGTATCATCTACCACTGATATCACATCTCCAGAATCACAGTACACAGGATCAGCACTGTCTAGTTCTGCTTTATCATCTATCACTGATATCACATCTCCAGAATCACAGTACACAGGATCACCACTGTCTAGTTCTTCTGTGTCAGCTGTGACTGATATCACATCTCCAGAATCACAGTACACAGAATCACCACTGTCTAGTTCTGCTTTACTATCTATCACTGATATCACATCTCCAGAATCACAGTACACAGAATCATCACTGTCTAGTTCTGCTTTATCATCTATCACTGATATCACATCTCCAGAATCAGAGTACACTGGATCAGCACTGACTAGTTCTTCTGTGTCAACTATGACTGATATCACATCTCCGGAATCACAGTACACAGGATCACCACTGTCTAGTTCTTCTGTGTCAACTGTGACTGATATCACATCTCCAGAATCACAATCCACAGGATCAGCACTGTCTAGTTCTCCTGTATCATCTGCGACTGATATCACATCTCCAGAATCACAGTACACAGGATCACCACTGTCTAGTTCTCCTGTGTCATCTGCGACTGATATCACATCTCCAGAATCACAGTACACAGGATCAGCACTGTCTAGTTCTGCTTTATCATCTATCACTGATATCACATCTCCAGAATCACAGTACACAGAATCACCACTGTCTAGTTCTTCTGTGTCATCTGCAACTGATATCACATCTGCAGAATCACAGTACACAGGATCAGCACTGTCTAGTTCTGCTTTATCATCTATCACTGATATCACATCTCCAGAATCACAGTACACAGAATCACCACTGTATAGTTCTTCTGTGTCATCTGCAACTGATATCACATCTCCAGAATCACAGTACACAGGATCAGCACTGTCTAGTTCTGCTTTATCATCTATCACTGATATCACATCTCCAGAATCACAGTACACAGAATCACCACTGTCTAGTTCTTCTGTGTCATCTTCGCCTGATATCACATCTCCAGAATCACAGTACACAGGATCAGCACTGTCCAGTTCTGCTTTATCATCTATCACTGATATCATATCTCCAGAATCACAGTACACAGGATCATCCCTGTCTAGTTCTCCCGTGTCATCTGCGACTGATATCACATCTCCAGAATCACAGTACACAGGATCAGCACTGTCTAGTTCTGCTTTATCATCTATCACTGATATCACATCTCCAGAATCACAATCCACAGGATCACCACTGTCTAGTTCTTCTGTGCCAACTGTGACTGATATCACATCTCCAGAATCACAGTACACAGGATCAGCACTGTCTAGTTCTGCTTTATCATCTATCACTGATATCACATCTCCAGAATCACAGTACACAGAATCACCACTGTCTAGTTCTTCTGTATCATCTACCACTGATTTCACATCTCCAGAATCACAGTACACAGAATCACCACTGTCTAGTTCTGCTTTATCATCTATCACTGATATCATATCTCCAGAATCACAGTACACAGGATCATCCCTGTCTAGTTCTCCCATGTCATCTGCGACTGAAATCACATCTCCAGAATCACAGTACACAGGATCAGCACTGTCTAGTTCTGCTTTATCAACTATCACTCATATCACATCTCCAGAATCACAGTACACTGGATCACCACTTTCTAGTTCTTCTGTGTCATCTGCGACTGATTTCACATCTCCAGAATCACAGTACACAGGATCAGCACTGTCTAGTTCTGCTTTATCATCTATCACTGATATCACATCTCCAGAATCACAGTACACAGGATCAGCACTGTCTATTTCTTCTGTGTCAACTGTGACAGATATCACATTTCCAGAATCACAGTACACAGGATCTACACTGTCTATTTCTTCTGTGTCAACTGTGACTGATATCACATCTCCAGAATCACAGTACACAGGATCACCACTGTCTAGTTCTCCTGTATCATCTGCGACTGATATCACATCTCCAGAATCACAGTACACTGGATCACCACTGTCTAGTTCTTCTGTGTCAACTGTGACTGATATCACATCTCCAGAATCACAGTACACAGGATCAGCACCGACTAGTTCTTCTGTTTCATCTATCACTGATATCACATCTCCAGAATCAGAGTACACAGGATCACCACTGTCTAGTTCACCTGTACCAACCGTGACTGATCTCACATCACCGGTGTCCCAGGAGACAGAGACAATGGCTTCAAGTGTTCCTGTACCAACTGTGACGGCTGCTTCTGACGCGCCTGTGCTAACATCATCACCTATGAGCCCCATGTCCACATCTGCAGTGTCACAGCAAACAACACCTGAGGCATCGTCTGTTTCTGTGTCACCAAGCGATTCTGCTTCTACAGAGCTATATTCATCTCAAACAGCCGTGACATCTGACATATCTGATCAAACATCTCCAGAATCACCGCCGTTCACCGACTTGTCATTTGCGTCAAGCGCTCCTCTATCAGCTGTGACTGATGTCACATCGCAAGAGTCACAACAGACTGAAGCGTTCACTTCTGGGTTTTCTGTCTCAACTCTGACAGCTGCTTTTAGGATAACTCCACTACCTATGAGCCCCGTGTCTACATCCCCCGTTTCTCGATTGTCATCGACACATGCAGCGTCTGTGTCACCAGGTGCTTCTCTTTCCACGGAGATATTTTCACCTCAAACCTTCACGGCATCCGAATCGTCTGACCAGACTTCGGGACCAACTTCATTCACTTCGACACATCCAGAATCGCTGCAAACAACACCGTCCTCCTCAGTACCCAGTGGCTCACCATCCGCTCTATATTCCTCATCGCCACCTGCATCGGCTTCATCACCGGAATCCATGGCTTCTACATCTGCCGCTTCACGCGCAACAGCCACTTTTACGTCTGAGCAGTCAAGCCACCTCACGCGCACGGAGGAAGCGACTCCCTCTGATTCTCTTGCATCAACATCTCCGAAATCTCAAGAAACAACGCCATCGTTGGCATCATCAGGGTCGCCTGGTGCGCCTTCCTCAATGCCGTCGCAGGCTGTCACGTCTTCAGCTTCACTGCCGAGGGCAACGTTCTCGTCCATCGCCACGTTAACAACCATCGCCCTGACCACAGCCACCGAGTCTCGGGCCTCCGAGGCCCCGGCGACGCTGAACGAGACGATGGTCGCCAGGGCGGCCCCCGATCCCCGCTTATCCGAGTCTCCCGACGAGCAGACGTTCAGCCTCAGGTTCAAAGTTCTCAACAAGGAGTTTGTCCCGGCGCTTCAAGATCAGAGCTCGGACGAGTTCCAACAACTGTCGAGCGATTTGAATCAGGAGGTAAGGCTGCAGCCTCGTCACTTACTGTCATTCGGGAATTACTCAGTCTAATCTAGTTTATATTTATGGAGAGCCTTCACTTCAAGGCTCTTGATTCTTGAGACAGTGACAGAATGGAATAATGTAGTTGGCAGGGGCGTGGAAGAATTGAGGAATGAGTGACAGTGAGTAGGTATGTATGTATGTATGTTGAACTTCTTTTGCACCGTACGTAGCCAACCGTGCTCATCGGAGGTGTGGGGGAAGGACAACAAACTCAACACAAATAGCAGCTCTAATTAAATGAATTTTTAACATAGGTTTAAAAGTGCATAGCTCCAATAGATGCCTAATGTGGGAAGGAAGAGCATTCCAGACGGCCGCAGAGATAGAGGGTACTTAGGAATCACAAAAGGGTAGGGGAGGGACGGGACGGGACAGAGTGGAGTGCCGAGGGGAGGGAAGAGAATGGGCAGTCGAGAAGAGGTGAGGCTTCAAGAGAGGAACAGAAGGAGGTTTAAGGAGGCAGACTGCTTAATGTACAACAGAAGTGCATTTCAGTGGAGGGGTGTGAATATTAAGCAAGAGTGAATGAGCTTTGCCCCACTCACCCTTGGCCTTTGGGTAAAAATAAATATCTGAAAAACGGAGATAGCAAAATAATGTATGCTATCTTTTAACAGCAATGCCACTCACATTGTCCGACGCAACCTTTTATTCGACATGTTTTACGTGAAAATCTCATGCATAAACGTTCCTGAACCAATTTTTTTACCAAAGCGCAGCAAACTTTACGTGTCTATAGTTTCACGTACATTGCGGTCCAGTGCCTGAAGCGGCCGTGTTGTGCACTGGAATTCGACCCGCGTGGTGTTTTCCTCCCTGTCTGTGACTTTACAGGTGAAATCCATTTTCAAGAGCGGGCCCCTTTCGAAGCATTTTCGACAGAGCAAAATACATTCGTTCAGGTGACAAAAGTAGCAGTCAAATCTGTTTATTGCTGTTATTATTATTATTACTGTGAACCATAGTGCAATGTGGTTAGCACGTTTGGCTACGTACGGTACAAAAGAAGTTCAACATACAGTATATACATTGTTTAGGTTGTTGTCCTTCCCCCGCACCTCCAATTCGCACGGGTGGGCTACGTACGGTGCGAACGAAGTTCAACAATCACACATACCATGTTGCTAAAGCGGCCCCTCGTGATTCATAGAGGGCTCTTGTCTAGAACCACCGGGAATGGGGACGGAATTCGTTCAGTGGATCACGCCCTGCTGATGGGCATTAGACGGCAGCTTTTTAGGAAATGCTGCTTGGAAAACTTTGGGAGTTCAGAAACCCATTTTGGTTGTTGATCGACACGAGTGTATTATTTATTATTCACGCTTTCTAACTAAAGTTGAAAGTGAGGGAGGGGGGGGGAAACTATTTTCTCGTAAAGATGATCCACAAAAACTTGGCAGGACTCTTTCGAGAAAGAGTTGAGACTCGATGCAGCTTTCCTGTGTAAACTAGCGGAGTAAGAACAATAAAACATTCAGCTGATAAAACTTCTCTAATGTCGCACGTTTTCAGTGTGTGACTCACATGTGAATATATATATATTGTTTTTGTATTTCTTAGCAAAGGTTCGGTGAACTGCGGCGGAACTCTGAAGTTTAATAAGCCAAAAGACAAGGAGATATTGGCAGAAGATGTTCACGAGCAGTTCGTCGGCGGAACGACCCGAGGCAATGCCCTAGGACCATTTGCCCTTGCGTGTGGCAGCACTTCGGTAGATGGTACGTACCGTGCAATGTGTTGTTACCGGCGCTTCGCACAAAGCGGGCCTTGTTTTACAGACCCCACATGGATGATGGGTTGAGTGGCTCTGCCTCAGCCTCCTCGCGAATCCCCTTGCCTCAAGTTTCTCTCCGCTCATTCCTCCTCCCTCTGCTCCTCCCCTCACCTCAGGGATTCACGTCTCACTCAGTGGATGTGTCCCCAGGTCACTGCGTAGACTGGAGTAGGCCCCGTCACAAGTAGCCAGAGCCGTGGCGAGGGGTATTCTGGACGTGGGTCAGCACTACTGCAGAAAAAAAAGATCCAGCGGAAATTAAGCCGGGAGTGTTACTGAAAATAATTCATTCGAGCACTTGTACAGGAATACGCTCGTCAAGTTTGTAACAATCACTTCCACATGTTCTTGAGAGATCTGGAATGCATACAGTTATAGTCAACAAGTAATTGGCAATTGTTTCCGAATATTGGGCCTTTGCATATTTCACTACTTTACATCGAGTAAACGTGCCCCCAGTAACCCCGTCCGCGGAGACGGAGCGAATTGGCTCGTTGTGCAGATGCTAGATGGTGTTGCTGCGTCTCAGAACCGAATTGGCGTTGATTTGGCTGCTTAGGGGGAAGGAGCTGATAGCCAACGTTTCATTTCGAGCTGAAACAAGACGACAGCCCAGCAGCGTTCTGATGTTGTCTGCCGGTCGAGTCGCCCTTGCAAAGACCTTCTTAGCTCAATTGGCGTTACTCACCCCCCTCACCCACTCACTCGGTCACTCACCCAGTCAGTCACCCACACAGTCACCCACCCACTGACTCACACACTCAACCACTAATTCACTCGCCCCGTCACCTTACCCATTCACTCAGGCACTAACACGCCCACTCATCCACTAACACACCCAATCACCCAATCATTCACCCATTCAATCACCAGCTCACTCACCTACTCACCCACTCACCCACCTGCTCACTAACCTACTCACCCACTCACCAACCTGCTCACTAATTGTCTGCCTGCCCAGTCGCCCTTGAAAAAGAGCCTCTAAGTCCAACGGGGCTTTACTTGGAGGGAAATAAACTTGTGATTATTTCCGATTCTGCTTTGAAATACAGTACGAGTCAGTGTCTGAATGCCCCCTTCTTTGTCGCACCCCGAGTTATTGTGCCATCGTCATCAGCCGTGCTCTATGCACTGCTGGATGAATGGCACCCCCAACTCGTCACACACCATTTACGTGGAGGTCGCGCTCCCGAGCTCCCGAGCGAGCTCCTAATTCGACTGCTGCTCTCGAAATGTGTTTCAAATCTCGTGGCGTGTGCTAAATATTCCCTTGCTTGTTAGTTAACTTCATGTTTTCTATCTTTTCAGACGTACATCAGGATGCTGAAGATTGTACGTTCACCACTCTTTACACGACCGTAGCCACGCTCCCAGGAAGGACATCCGAATCTGACCAAACCGATGTATCAATGGCCGTTGCGTCAACGCTAGCAGGAATATCAAGTGCACCTGTGACAGCTGTGACGGCTGCCTCTACGATGATCCCACCGACTGTGTCCTCAGGGCAAGGGTCGTCGGTCAGCGCGCTATCTACATCGCCTCTTTCACGTCAGACGAGTCCCTTCTCCACATCTCTTGCGTCACGACGAACGACCTCTGAGGCAGCATTAGTTTCCGTGTCACCAAGTGACTCTGCTTCTACTGACCTATATTCAGATCAAACATCTGACTCATCTGAACAGACATCAGAACCAACTTCACCAGAATCATGGCAAACAACACTGTCATCATCATCATCATCTACATCAAGTGGCCCATCATCATCTGTGGGTTCTTCTGTATCATCCGTATCTTCTGTGGCTTCTGCATCTGAAACAAGTCAACCTATTGTGGCATCTGTTTCCTCTATCACTTCTCCAGAATCACAGTACACAGGATCACCACTGTCTAGTTCTCCTATGTCATCTGCGACTGATATCACATCTCCAGAATCACAGTACACAGGATCAGCACTGTCTAGTTCTGATGTATCATCTATCACTGATATCACATCTCCAGAATCACAGTACACAGGATCAGCACTGTCTAGTTCTTCTGTGTCATCTGCGACTGATATCACATCTCCAGAATCACAGTACACAGGATCACCACTGTCTAGTTTTTCTGTGTCATCTGCGACTGATATCACATCTCCAGAATCACAGTACACAGGATCATCACTGTCTAGTTCTGCTTTATCATCTATCACTGATATCACATCTCCAGAATCACAGTACACAGGATCACCACTGTTTAGTTCATCTGTATCATCTATCACTGATATCACATCTCCAGAATCACAGTACACAGGATCAGCACTGTCTAGTTCTCCTATGTCATCTGCGACTGATATCACATCTCCAGAATCACAGTACACAGGATCAGCACTGTCTAGTTCTGCTTTATCATCTATCACTGATATCACATCTCCAGAATCACAGTACACAGGATCACCACTGTCTAGTTCTTCTGTGTCATCTGCGACTGATATCACATCTCCAGAATCACAGTACACAGAATCACCACTGTCTAGTTCTTCTGTATCATCTATCACTGATATCACATCTCCAGAATCACAGTACACAGGCTCAGCACTGTCTAGTTCTGCTTTATCATCTATCACTGATATCACATCTCCAGAATCACAGTACACAGGATCAGCGCTGTCTAGTTCTGCTTTATCATCTATCACTCATATCACATCTCCAGAATCACAGTACACAGGATCAGCACTGTCTAGTTCTTCTGTGTCTACTGTGACTGATATCACATCTCCAGAATCACAGTACACAGGATCACCACTGTTCAGTTCTTCTGTGTCATCTGTGACTGATATCACATCTCCAGAATCACAGTACACAGGATCAGCACTGTCTAGTTCTTCTGTGTCATCTGCGACTGATATCACATCTCCAGAATCACAGTACACAGGATCAGCACTGTCTAGTTCTGATGTATCATCTATCACTGATATCACATCTCCAGAATCACAGTACACAGGATCAGCACTGTCTAGTTCTTCTGTGTCATCTGCGACTGATATCACATCTCCAGAATCACAGTACACAGGATCACCACTGTCTAGTTCTTCTGTGTCATCTGCGACTGATATCACATCTCCAGAATCACAGTACACAGGATCATCACTGTCTAGTTCTGCTTTATCATCTATCACTGATATCACATCTCCAGAATCACAGTACACAGGATCACCACTGTTTAGTTCATCTGTATCATCTATCACTGATATCACATCTCCAGAATCACAGTACACAGGATCAGCACTGTCTAGTTTTCCTATGTCATCTGCGACTGATATCACATCTCCAGAATCACAGTACACAGGATCAGCACTGTCTAGTTCTGCTTTATCATCTATCACTGATATCACATCTCCAGAATCACAGTACACAGAATCACCACTGTCTAGTTCTTCTGTATCATCTATCACTGATATCACATCTCCAGAATCACAGTACACAGGATCACCACTGTCTAGTTCTTCTGTGTCATCTGCGACTGATATCACATCTCCAGAATCACAGTACACAGAATCACCACTATCTAGTTCTTCTGTATCATCTATCACTGATATCACATCTCCAGAATCACAGTACACAGGCTCAGCACTGTCTAGTTCTGCTTTATCATCTATCACTGATATCACATCTCCAGAATCACAGTACACAGGATCAGCGCTGTCTAGTTCTGATTTATCATCTATCACTCATATCACATCTCCAGAATCACAGTACACAGGATCAGCACTGTCTAGTTCTTCTGTGTCTACTGTGACTGATATCACATCTCCAGAATCACAGTACACAGGATCACCACTGTTTAGTTATTCTGTGTCATCTGTGACTGATATCACATCTCCAGAATCACAGTACACAGGATCAGCACTGTCTAGTTCTTCTGTGTCATCTGTTACTGATATCACAACTCCAGAATCACAGTACACAGGATCAGCACTGTCTAGGTCTGCTTTATCATCTATCACTGATATCACATCTGCAGAATCACAGTACACAGAATCAGCACTGTCTAGTTCTCCTATGTCATCTGCGACTGATATCACATCTCCAGAATCACAGTACACAGGATCAGCACTGTCTAGTTCTGCTTTATCATCTATCACTGATATCACATCTCCAGAATCACAGTACACAGGATCACCACTGTCTAGTTCTTCTGTGTCATCTGCGACTGATATCACATCTCCAGAATCACAGTACACAGGATCAGCACTGTCTAGTTCTTCTGTGTCATCTGCGACTGATATTACATCTCCAGAATCACAGTACACAGGATCACCACTGTCTAGTTCTGCTGTATCATCTATCACTGATATCACATCTCCAGGATCACAGTACACAGGATCACCACTGTCTAGTTCTTCTGTGTCATCTGCGACTGATATCACATCTCCAGAATCACAGTACACAGGATCAGCACTGTCTAGTTCTTCTGTGTCATCTGTTACTGATATCACATCTCCAGAATCACAGTACACAGGATCAGTACTGTCTATTTCTTCTGTGTCCACTGTGACTGATATCACATCTCCAGAATCACAGTACACAGGATCACCACTGTCTAGTTCTCCTATGTCATCTGCGACTGATATCACATCTACAGATTCACAGTACACAGGATCAGCACTCTCTAGTTCTGCTGTATCATCTATCACTGATATCACATCTCCAGAATCACAGTACACAGGATCAGCACTGTCTAGTTCTTCTGTGTCATCTGCGACTGATATCACATCTCCAGAATCACAGTACACAGGATCAGCACTGTCTATTTCTTCTGTGTCAACTGTGACAGATATCACATTTCCAGAATCACAGTACACAGGATCTACACTGTCTATTTCTTCTGTGTCAACTGTGACTGATATCACATCTCCAGAATCACAGTACACAGGATCACCACTGTCTAGTTCTCCTGTATCATCTGCGACTGATATCACATCTCCAGAATCACAGTACACTGGATCACCACTGTCTAGTTCTTCTGTGTCAACTGTGACTGATATCACATCTCCAGAATCACAGTACACAGGATCAGCACCGACTAGTTCTTCTGTTTCATCTATCACTGATATCACATCTCCAGAATCAGAGTACACAGGATCACCACTGTCTAGTTCACCTGTACCAACCGTGACTGATCTCACATCACCGGTGTCCCAGGAGACAGAGACAATGGCTTCAAGTGTTCCTGTACCAACTGTGACGGCTGCTTCTGACGCGCCTGTGCTAACATCATCACCTATGAGCCCCATGTCCACATCTGCAGTGTCACAGCAAACAACACCTGAGGCATCGTCTGTTTCTGTGTCACCAAGCGATTCTGCTTCTACAGAGCTATATTCATCTCAAACAGCCGTGACATCTGACATATCTGATCAAACATCTCCAGAATCACCGCCGTTCACCGACTTGTCATTTGCGTCAAGCGCTCCTCTATCAGCTGTGACTGATGTCACATCGCAAGAGTCACAACAGACTGAAGCGTTCACTTCTGGGTTTTCTGTCTCAACTCTGACAGCTGCTTTTAGGATAACTCCACTACCTATGAGCCCCGTGTCTACATCCCCCGTTTCTCGATTGTCATCGACACATGCAGCGTCTGTGTCACCAGGTGCTTCTCTTTCCACGGAGATATTTTCACCTCAAACCTTCACGGCATCCGAATCGTCTGACCAGACTTCGGGACCAACTTCATTCACTTCGACACATCCAGAATCGCTGCAAACAACACCGTCCTCCTCAGTACCCAGTGGCTCACCATCCGCTCTATATTCCTCATCGCCACCTGCATCGGCTTCATCACCGGAATCCATGGCTTCTACATCTGCCGCTTCACGCGCAACAGCCACTTTTACGTCTGAGCAGTCAAGCCACCTCACGCGCACGGAGGAAGCGACTCCCTCTGATTCTCTTGCATCAACATCTCCGAAATCTCAAGAAACAACGCCATCGTTGGCATCATCAGGGTCGCCTGGTGCGCCTTCCTCAATGCCGTCGCAGGCTGTCACGTCTTCAGCTTCACTGCCGAGGGCAACGTTCTCGTCCATCGCCACGTTAACAACCATCGCCCTGACCACAGCCACCGAGTCTCGGGCCTCCGAGGCCCCGGCGACGCTGAACGAGACGATGGTCGCCAGGGCGGCCCCCGATCCCCGCTTATCCGAGTCTCCCGACGAGCAGACGTTCAGCCTCAGGTTCAAAGTTCTCAACAAGGAGTTTGTCCCGGCGCTTCAAGATCAGAGCTCGGACGAGTTCCAACAACTGTCGAGCGATTTGAATCAGGAGGTAAGGCTGCAGCCTCGTCACTTACTGTCATTCGGGAATTACTCAGTCTAATCTAGTTTATATTTATGGAGAGCCTTCACTTCAAGGCTCTTGATTCTTGAGACAGTGACAGAATGGAATAATGTAGTTGGCAGGGGCGTGGAAGAATTGAGGAATGAGTGACAGTGAGTAGGTATGTATGTATGTATGTTGAACTTCTTTTGCACCGTACGTAGCCAACCGTGCTCATCGGAGGTGTGGGGGAAGGACAACAAACTCAACACAAATAGCAGCTCTAATTAAATGAATTTTTAACATAGGTTTAAAAGTGCATAGCTCCAATAGATGCCTAATGTGGGAAGGAAGAGCATTCCAGACGGCCGCAGAGATAGAGGGTACTTAGGAATCACAAAAGGGTAGGGGAGGGACGGGACGGGACAGAGTGGAGTGCCGAGGGGAGGGAAGAGAATGGGCAGTCGAGAAGAGGTGAGGCTTCAAGAGAGGAACAGAAGGAGGTTTAAGGAGGCAGACTGCTTAATGTACAACAGAAGTGCATTTCAGTGGAGGGGTGTGAATATTAAGCAAGAGTGAATGAGCTTTGCCCCACTCACCCTTGGCCTTTGGGTAAAAATAAATATCTGAAAAACGGAGATAGCAAAATAATGTATGCTATCTTTTAACAGCAATGCCACTCACATTGTCCGACGCAACCTTTTATTCGACATGTTTTACGTGAAAATCTCATGCATAAACGTTCCTGAACCAATTTTTTTACCAAAGCGCAGCAAACTTTACGTGTCTATAGTTTCACGTACATTGCGGTCCAGTGCCTGAAGCGGCCGTGTTGTGCACTGGAATTCGACCCGCGTGGTGTTTTCCTCCCTGTCTGTGACTTTACAGGTGAAATCCATTTTCAAGAGCGGGCCCCTTTCGAAGCATTTTCTACAGAGCAAAATACATTCGTTCAGGTGACAAAAGTAGCAGTCAAATCTGTTTATTGCTGTTATTATTATTATTACTGTGAACCATAGTGCAATGTGGTTAGCACGTTTGGCTACGTACGGTACAAAAGAAGTTCAACATACAGTATATACATTGTTTAGGTTGTTGTCCTTCCCCCGCACCTCCAATTCGCACGGGTGGGCTACGTACGGTGCGAACGAAGTTCAACAATCACACATACCATGTTGCTAAAGCGGCCCCTCGTGATTCATAGAGGGCTCTTGTCTAGAACCACCGGGAATGGGGACGGAATTCGTTCAGTGGATCACGCCCTGCTGATGGGCATTAGACGGCAGCTTTTTAGGAAATGCTGCTTGGAAAACTTTGGGAGTTCAGAAACCCATTTTGGTTGTTGATCGACACGAGTGTATTATTTATTATTCACGCTTTCTAACTAAAGTTGAAAGTGAGGGAGGGGGGGGAAACTATTTTCTCGTAAAGATGATCCACAAAAACTTGGCAGGACTCTTTCGAGAAAGAGTTGAGACTCGATGCAGCTTTCCTGTGTAAACTAGCGGAGTAAGAACAATAAAACATTCAGCTGATAAAACTTCTCTAATGTCGCACGTTTTCAGTGTGTGACTCACATGTGAATATATATTGTTTTTGTATTTCTTAGCAAAGGTTCGGTGAACTGCGGCGGAACTCTGAAGTTTAATAAGCCAAAAGACAAGGAGATATTGGCAGAAGATGTTCACGAGCAGTTCGTCGGCGGAACGACCCGAGGCAATGCCCTAGGACCATTTGCCCTTGCGTGTGGCAGCACTTCGGTAGATGGTACGTACCGTGCAATGTGTTGTTACCGGCGCTTCGCACAAAGCGGGCCTTGTTTTACAGACCCCACATGGATGATGGGTTGAGTGGCTCTGCCTCAGCCTCCTCGCGAATCCCCTTGCCTCAAGTTTCTCTCCGCTCATTCCTCCTCCCTCTGCTCCTCCCCTCACCTCAGGGATTCACGTCTCACTCAGTGGATGTGTCCCCAGGTCACTGCGTAGACTGGAGTAGGCCCCGTCACAAGTAGCCAGAGCCGTGGCGAGGGGTATTCTGGACGTGGGTCAGCACTACTGCAGAAAAAAAAGATCCAGCGGAAATTAAGCCGGGAGTGTTACTGAAAATAATTCATTCGAGCACTTGTACAGGAATACGCTCGTCAAGTTTGTAACAATCACTTCCACATGTTCTTGAGAGATCTGGAATGCATACAGTTATAGTCAACAAGTAATTGGCAATTGTTTCCGAATATTGGGCCTTTGCATATTTCACTACTTTACATCGAGTAAACGTGCCCCCAGTAACCCCGTCCGCGGAGACGGAGCGAATTGGCTCGTTGTGCAGATGCTAGATGGTGTTGCTGCGTCTCAGAACCGAATTGGCGTTGATTTGGCTGCTTAGGGGGAAGGAGCTGATAGCCAACGTTTCATTTCGAGCTGAAACAAGACGACAGCCCAGCAGCGTTCTGATGTTGTCTGCCGGTCGAGTCGCCCTTGCAAAGACCTTCTTAGCTCAATTGGCGTTACTCACCCCCCTCACCCACTCACTCGGTCACTCACCCAGTCAGTCACCCACACAGTCACCCACCCACTGACTCACACACTCAACCACTAATTCACTCGCCCCGTCACCTTACCCATTCACTCAGGCACTAACACGCCCACTCATCCACTAACACACCCAATCACCCAATCATTCACCCATTCAATCACCAGCTCACTCACCTACTCACCCACTCACCCACCTGCTCACTAACCTACTCACCCACTCACCAACCTGCTCACTAATTGTCTGCCTGCCCAGTCGCCCTTGAAAAAGAGCCTCTAAGTCCAACGGGGCTTTACTTGGAGGGAAATAAACTTGTGATTATTTCCGATTCTGCTTTGAAATACAGTACGAGTCAGTGTCTGAATGCCCCCTTCTTTGTCGCACCCCGAGTTATTGTGCCATCGTCATCAGCCGTGCTCTATGCACTGCTGGATGAATGGCACCCCCAACTCGTCACACACCATTTACGTGGAGGTCGCGCTCCCGAGCTCCCGAGCGAGCTCCTAATTCGACTGCTGCTCTCGAAATGTGTTTCAAATCTCGTGGCGTGTGCTAAATATTCCCTTGCTTGTTAGTTAACTTCATGTTTTCTATCTTTTCAGACGTACATCAGGATGCTGAAGATTGTACGTTCACCACTCTTTACACGACCGTAGCCACGCTCCCAGGAAGGACATCCGAATCTGACCAAACCGATGTATCAATGGCCGTTGCGTCAACGCTAGCAGGAATATCAAGTGCACCTGTGACAGCTGTGACGGCTGCCTCTACGATGATCCCACCGACTGTGTCCTCAGGGCAAGGGTCGTCGGTCAGCGCGCTATCTACATCGCCTCTTTCACGTCAGACGAGTCCCTTCTCCACATCTCTTGCGTCACGACGAACGACCTCTGAGGCAGCATTAGTTTCCGTGTCACCAAGTGACTCTGCTTCTACTGACCTATATTCAGATCAAACATCTGACTCATCTGAACAGACATCAGAACCAACTTCACCAGAATCATGGCAAACAACACTGTCATCATCATCATCTACATCAAGTGGCCCATCATCATCTGTGGGTTCTTCTGTATCATCCGTATCTTCTGTGGCTTCTGCATCTGAAACAAGTCAACCTATTGTGGCATCTGTTTCCTCTATCACTTCTCCAGAATCACAGTACACAGGATCACCACTGTCTAGTTCTCCTATGTCATCTGCGACTGATATCACATCTCCAGAATCACAGTACACAGGATCAGCACTGTCTAGTTCTGATGTATCATCTATCACTGATATCACATCTCCAGAATCACAGTACACAGGATCAGCACTGTCTAGTTCTTCTGTGTCATCTGCGACTGATATCACATCTCCAGAATCACAGTACACAGGATCACCACTGTCTAGTTTTTCTGTGTCATCTGCGACTGATATCACATCTCCAGAATCACAGTACACAGGATCATCACTGTCTAGTTCTGCTTTATCATCTATCACTGATATCACATCTCCAGAATCACAGTACACAGGATCACCACTGTTTAGTTCATCTGTATCATCTATCACTGATATCACATCTCCAGAATCACAGTACACAGGATCAGCACTGTCTAGTTCTCCTATGTCATCTGCGACTGATATCACATCTCCAGAATCACAGTACACAGGATCAGCACTGTCTAGTTCTGCTTTATCATCTATCACTGATATCACATCTCCAGAATCACAGTACACAGGATCACCACTGTCTAGTTCTTCTGTGTCATCTGCGACTGATATCACATCTCCAGAATCACAGTACACAGAATCACCACTGTCTAGTTCTTCTGTATCATCTATCACTGATATCACATCTCCAGAATCACAGTACACAGGCTCAGCACTGTCTAGTTCTGCTTTATCATCTATCACTGATATCACATCTCCAGAATCACAGTACACAGGATCAGCGCTGTCTAGTTCTGCTTTATCATCTATCACTCATATCACATCTCCAGAATCACAGTACACAGGATCAGCACTGTCTAGTTCTTCTGTGTCTACTGTGACTGATATCACATCTCCAGAATCACAGTACACAGGATCACCACTGTTCAGTTCTTCTGTGTCATCTGTGACTGATATCACATCTCCAGAATCACAGTACACAGGATCAGCACTGTCTAGTTCTTCTGTGTCATCTGCGACTGATATCACATCTCCAGAATCACAGTACACAGGATCAGCACTGTCTAGTTCTGATGTATCATCTATCACTGATATCACATCTCCAGAATCACAGTACACAGGATCAGCACTGTCTAGTTCTTCTGTGTCATCTGCGACTGATATCACATCTCCAGAATCACAGTACACAGGATCACCACTGTCCAGTTCTTCTGTGTCATCTGCGACTGATATCACATCTCCAGAATCACAGTACACAGGATCATCACTGTCTAGTTCTGCTTTATCATCTATCACTGATATCACATCTCCAGAATCACAGTACACAGGATCACCACTGTTTAGTTCATCTGTATCATCTATCACTGATATCACATCTCCAGAATCACAGTACACAGGATCAGCACTGTCTAGTTTTCCTATGTCATCTGCGACTGATATCACATCTCCAGAATCACAGTACACAGGATCAGCACTGTCTAGTTCTGCTTTATCATCTATCACTGATATCACATCTCCAGAATCACAGTACACAGAATCACCACTGTCTAGTTCTTCTGTATCATCTATCACTGATATCACATCTCCAGAATCACAGTACACAGGATCACCACTGTCTAGTTCTTCTGTGTCATCTGCGACTGATATCACATCTCCAGAATCACAGTACACAGAATCACCACTGTCTAGTTCTTCTGTATCATCTATCACTGATATCACATCTCCAGAATCACAGTACACAGGCTCAGCACTGTCTAGTTCTGCTTTATCATCTATCACTGATATCACATCTCCAGAATCACAGTACACAGGATCAGCGCTGTCTAGTTCTGATTTATCATCTATCACTCATATCACATCTCCAGAATCACAGTACACAGGATCAGCACTGTCTAGTTCTTCTGTGTCTACTGTGACTGATATCACATCTCCAGAATCACAGTACACAGGATCACCACTGTTTAGTTCTTCTGTGTCATCTGTGACTGATATCACATCTCCAGAATCACAGTACACAGGATCAGCACTGTCTAGTTCTTCTGTGTCATCTGTTACTGATATCACATCTCCAGAATCACAGTACACAGGATCAGCACTGTCTAGTTCTGCTTTATCATCTATCACTGATATCACATCTGCAGAATCACAGTACACAGGATCAGCACTGTCTAGTTCTCCTATATCATCTGCGACTGATATCACATCTCCAGAATCACAGTACACAGGATCAGCACTGTCTAGTTCTGCTTTATCATCTATCACTGATATCACATCTCCAGAATCACAGTACACAGGATCACCACTGTCTAGTTCTTCTGTGTCATCTGCGACTGATATCACATCTCCAGAATCACAGTACACAGGATCAGCACTGTCTAGTTCTTCTGTGTCATCTGCGACTGATATTACATCTCCAGAATCACAGTACACAGGATCACCACTGTCTAGTTCTGCTGTATCATCTATCACTGATATCACATCTCCAGGATCACAGTACACAGGATCACCACTGTCTAGTTCTTCTGTGTCATCTGCGACTGATATCACATCTCCAGAATCACAGTACACAGGATCAGCACTGTCTAGTTCTTCTGTGTCATCTGTTACTGATATCACATCTCCAGAATCACAGTACACAGGATCAGTACTGTCTATTTCTTCTGTGTCCACTGTGACTGATATCACATCTCCAGAATCACAGTACACAGGATCACCACTGTCTAGTTCTCCTATGTCATCTGCGACTGATATCACATCTACAGATTCACAGTACACAGGATCAGCACTCTGTAGTTCTGCTGTATCATCTATCACTGATATCACATCTCCAGAATCACAGTACACAGGATCAGCACTGTCTAGTTCTTCTGTGTCATCTGCGACTGATATCACATCTCCAGAATCACAGTACACAGGATCACCACTGTTTAGTTCTTCTGTGTCATCTGCGACTGATATTACATCTCCAGAATCACAGTACACAGGATCACCACTGTCTAGTTCTGCTGTATCATCTATCACTGATATCACATCTCCAGGATCACAGTACACAGGATCACCACTGTTTAGTTTTTCTGTATCATCTATCACTGATATCACATCTCCAGAATCAAAGTACACAGGATCAGCACCGTCTAGTTCTTCTGTGTCATCTGTTACTGATATCACATCTCCAGAATCACAGTACACAGGATCAGCACTGTCTAGTTCTGCTTTGTCATCTGCGACTGATCTCACATCTCCAGAATCACAGTACACAGAATCACCACTGTCTAGTTCTTCTGTATCATCTATCACTGATATCACATCTCCAGAATCACAGTACACAGGCTCAGCACTGTCTAGTTCTGCTTTATCATCTATCACTGATATCACATCTCCAGAATCACAGTACACAGGATCAGCGCTGTCTAGTTCTGCTTTTTCATCTATCACTCATATCACATCTCCAGAATCACAGTACACAGGATCAGCACTGTCTAGTTCTTCTGTGTCTACTGTGACTGATATCACATCTCCAGAATCACAGTACACAGGATCACCACTGTTTAGTTCTTCTGTGTCATCTGTGACTGATATCACATCTCCAGAATCACAGTACACAGGATCAGCACTGTCTAGTTCTTCTGTGTCATCTGTTACTGATATCACATCTCCAGAATTACAGTACACAGGATCAGCACTGTCTAGTTCTGCTTTATCATCTATCGCTGATATCACATCTGCAGAATCACAGTACACAGGATCAGCACTGTCTAGTTCTCCTATGTCATCTGCGACTGATATCACATCTCCAGAATCACAGTACACAGGATCAGCACTGTCTAGTTCTGCTTTATCATCTATCCCTGATATCACTTCTCCAGAATCACAGTACACAGGATCACCACTGTCTAGTTCTTCTATGTCATCTGCGACTGATATCACATCTCCAGAATCACAGTACACAGGATCAGCACTGTCTAGTTCTTCTGTGTCATCTGCGACTGATATTACATCTCCAGAATCACAGTACACAGGATCACCACTGTCTAGTTCTGCTGTATCATCTATCACTGATATCACATCTCCAGGATCACAGTACACAGGATCACCACTGTTTAGTTCTTCTGTATCATCTATCACTGATATCACATCTCCAGAATCAAAGTACACAGGATCAGCACCGTCTAGTTCTTCTGTGTCATCTGTTACTGATATCACATCTCCAGAATCACAGTACACAGGATCAGCACTATCTAGTTCTGCTTTGTCATCTGCGACTGATATCACATCTCCAAAATCACAGTACACAGGATCAGCACTGTCTAGTTCTGCTTTATCATCTATCACTGATATCACATCTCCAGAATCACAGTACACAGGTTCACCACTGTCTAGTTCTTCTGTGTCATCTGCGACTGATATCACATCTCCAGAATCACAGTACACAGGATCAGCACTGTCTAGTTCTTCTGTGTCATCTGCGACTGATATTACATCTCCAGAATCACAGTACACAGGATCACCACTGTCTAGTTCTGCTGTATCATCTATCACTGATATCACATCTCCAGGATCACAGTACACAGGATCACCACTGTCTAGTTCTTCTGTGTCATCTGCGACTGATATCACATCTCCAGAATCACAGTACACAGGATCAGCACTGTCTAGTTCTTCTGTGTCATCTGTTACTGATATCACATCTACAGATTCACAGTACACAGGATCAGCACTCTCTAGTTCTGCTGTATCATCTATCACTGATATCACATCTCCAGAATCACAGTACACAGGATCAGCACTGTCTAGTTCTTCTGTGTCATCTGCGACTGATATCACATCTCCAGAATCACAGTACACAGGATCACCACTGTTTAGTTCTTCTGTGTCATCTGCGACTGATATTACATCTCCAGAATCACAGTACACAGGATCACCACTGTCTAGTTCTGCTGTATCATCTATCACTGATATCACATCTCCAGGATCACAGTACACAGGATCACCACTGTTTAGTTCTTCTGTATCATCTATCACTGATATCACATCTCCAGAATCAAAGTACACAGGATCACCACTGTCTAGTTCTTCTGTGTCAACTGTGACTGATATCACATCTCCAGAATCACAGTACACAGGATCACCACTGTCTAGTTCTTCTGTATCATCTATCACTGATATCACATCTCCAGAGTCACTGTACAAAGGATCAGCAATGTCTAGTTCTTCTGTGTCATCTGTTACTGATATCACATCTCCAGAATCACAGTACACAGGATCAGCACTATCTAGTTCTGCTTTATCATCTATCACTGATATCACATCTCCAGGATCACAGTACACAGGATCAGCACTGTCTAGTTCTACTTTATCATCTATCACTGATTTCACATCTCCAGAATCACAGTACACAGGATCACCACTGTCTAGTTCTTCTGTGTCATCTGCGACTGATATCACATCTCCAGAATCACAGTACACAGAATCACCACTGTCTAGTTCTCCTTTGTCATCTGCGACTGATATCACATCTACAGATTCACAGTACACAGGATCAGCACTCTCTAGTTCTGCTGTATCATCTATCACTGATATCACATCTCCAGAATTACAGTACACAGAATCACCACTGTCTAGTTCTTCTGTATCATCTATCACTGATATTACATCTCCAGAATCACAGTACACAGGATCACCACCGTCTAGCTCTTCGGTGTCAACTGTGACTGATATCACATCTCCAGAATCACAGTACACAGGATCAGCACTGTCTAGTTCTGCTGTATCATCTATCACTGATATCACATCTCCAGGATCACAGTACACAGGATCACCGCTGTTTAGTTCTTCCGTATCATCTATCACTGATATCACATCTCCAGAATCACAGTACACAGGATCAGCACTGTCTAGTTCTTCTGTGTCATCTGTTACTGATATCACATCTCCAGAATCACAGTACACAGGATCAGCACTGTCTAGTTCTGCTTTATCATCTATCACTGATATCACATCTCCAGAATCACAGTACACAGGATCACCACTGTCTAGCTCTTCTGTATCATCTATCACTGATATCATATCTCCAGAATCACAGTACACAGGATCACCACTGTCTAGTTCTCCTGTATCATCTGCGACTGATATCACATCTCCAGAATCACAGTACACAGAATCACTACTGTCTAGTTCTGCTTTATCATCGTTCACTGATATCACATCTCCAGAATCAGAGTACACTGGATCAGCACTGTCTAGTTCACCTGTACCAACCGTGACTGATCTCACATCACCGGTGTCCCAGCAGACAGAGACAATGGCTTCAAGTGTTCCTGTACCAACTGTGACGGCTGCTTCTGGCGCGCCTGTGCTAACACCATCACCTATGAGCCCCAGGTCCACATCTGCAGTGTCACAGCAAACAACACCTGAGGCATCGTTCGTTTCTGCGTCACCAAGCGATTCTGCTTCTACAGAGCTATATTCATCCCAAACCGCCGTGACATCTGACATATCTGATCAAACATCTCCAGAATCACCGCCGTTCACCGACTTGTCATTTGCATCAACCGCTCCTCCATCAGCTGTGACTGATGTCACATCGCAAAAGTCACAACAGACTGAAGCGTTAACTTCTGGGTTTTCTGTCTCAACTGTGACAGCTGCTTCTAGGATAACTCCGCTACCTATGTCCACATCACCCGTTTCCCGATTGTCATCGACACATGCAGCATCTGCGTCACCAGGTGCTTCTCTTTCCACGGATACATTTTCACCTCAAACCTTCACGGCATCCGAATCGTCTGACCAGACTTCGGGACCAACTTCATTCACTTCGACACATCCAGAATCGCTGCAAACAACACCGTCCTCCTCAGTACCCAGTGGCTCACCATCCGCTCTATATTCCTCATCGCCATCTGCATCGGCTTCATCACCGGAATCCATGGCTTCTACATCTGCCGCTTCACGCGCAACAGCCACTTTTACGTCTGAGCAGTCAAGCCACCTCACGCGCACGGAGGAAGCGACTCTCTCTGATTCTCTTGCATCAACATCTCCGAAATCTCAAGAAACAACGCCATCGTTGGCATCATCAGGGTCGCCTGGTGCGCCTTCCTCAACGCCGTCGCAGGCTGTCACGTCTCCAGCTTCACTGCCGACGGCGACGTTCTCGTCCATCGCCGCGTTAACGACCGTCGCCCTGACCACGGCCGCCGAGTCTCGGGCCTCCGAGGCCCCGGCGACGCTGAACGAGACGATGGTCGCCAGGGCGGCTCCCGATCCCCGCTTATCCGAGTCTCCCGACGAGCAGACGTTCAGCCTCAGGTTCAAAGTTCTCAACAAGGAGTTTGTCCCGGAGCTTCGCGATCGGAGCTCGGACGCGTTCCAACAACTGTCGAGCAATTTGAATCAGGAGGTATGGAACATTGAGTGACTCGTAATGAATGTATATTGGACATGCATTTACAGGTGAAGGCCGTTGTTCATCTTTTGCAGTGGCGCAGCTATTACGGAGTGTGCAGGCGGTGCAACTGCACCAGGCCCCATGAGCCAGAGGTGCCCAGGTACCGGGCCCACGAAGAGTGTGAAATTGGTTCAGGGTGGCCCCCATTTCATTCCGTGCGCCAGGGGTCCCGTGCCAACCTCGCTGTATAAGCAGTGTATCGTGTTGAGGGATGAATCCTACATTTGACCTTTCAGCTACAGTACGTCTCAGCCAACAATAATCAATAGCAACACAGACCTTTTTAGGAGGGCGGTGCTATCGTTGGGATGTTTGGCCAAACCCTGAATGATTATGAAAAAGAAGAATAGGTTTTACCCTTTCTGGCAATAAAACAGGTGTTAAGATGTTCAAACATCAAATATCTACCTTTTGCAAGTAATCAAGTCTGCGATAACCACAGCTACTTGTGGTGAACATACAAGGGTAAAACCTATACTCATTTTTAATACTTTAATAGTGGCAAAAAGTTCCCATGATATACCCTGAATGATTGTTTCACATGCGGGAGTACGCTGACATAGCCATAAGAGTTCCATGCGCACAAGGGGATAACGGTGGAAAGCAGCGATCCCGCTTACTGTACTACCGACTCCTGACCACCCATCGAATGGTAATCTTCATGAGCCCCACTTCACCTCGACTCAAACAACAGTGAAGTGCAGCAATGTGGTGCCAGGCTCCGTAATTGTTGTCCTCCCAGAACGTTTTGTGCAAACTTACACAAGGAAAAAAGTGCGTGCGGATAATGTTTTGTCAACTTAGGTTAAACGCCCCCGTACGTATGTACGTTGAACTTCTTTCGCACCGCACGTAGGCAACCGTGCTAATTGGAGGTGCCTGCTTAATTATATATCTTTGATGATGTGTGAAATCTTAATGGACATCATGTGCATATAAAGTCTTAAAAAATACTGTACAGTATATAATTTAAACTAGTTTGATCGAGTTATTTTAAACATTTAACAACATTAGTCATGTATGTATATCCTCATGATAAAATGATCACTCCAGAAGTGGGTTAACCATGGCTGATGTTGAACCAGTTACTTTTATATCTAGATTTTACTCAACTACTGGAATGGCACGTGAGCTAGAATTGTGTGTGCCTGTTATATTGCATTCCACAGGTGAAATCCATTTACAAAAGCGGTCCGCTGTCAAAATACTTCAGGCGGAGCAATATGCATTCGTTCAGGTGAGACGTCACCTTACACTCTCTCGCTCCCGAAGTTTGCTCAGCAGCAAGCGGCAGACAATCAGGTCAAGCCAAATAAGTCATCACGGCCAGTGTCACTGGTGCCATAACACGTGGTTGTCTTTTTTGTGGTCTCATTTCTACTTGCTTAATTGCTGTACCATTACATTCCTGCTTTTGTCCCCAGGTCACTGTTACATCATGGTCTCTTGAGTCCTCGCGTGGTTAAACAAAATCAACTTGATTAATCCCTGCCTCACACACATGTCTCTTACACTACAATTGACCGTTCTTATTGCCGTACGGCTTCTGATGTAGATGCAGAGCAACAACTTACAATTTCACATTCAGGTTGTCAAGAAGAATTGACCGTTACACTCCTTTAAAGTGGTTTATGTAGCCTGCAGTGCATCTGTGGCTTACCATCGGAGTTGACCATCACTGTTTTTTTAAACACATCGTTAAATCCGAAACCAACTATTAAATCTTTGGCTCGCATCGTGATTGTCGTTTACACGTTTGGCCTTGTTTCTTTTGTTCCCTAGGGAAGGCTCGGTGGACTGCCACGGAACCCTGAAGTTTAAAAGGCCAAAAGACAAAGACATCCTGGCAGAAGAAGTTCACGAGAAATTCCTTGATGGCACACACGGAGGAAATGAATTGGGGGCGTTCGTTCTTGCTTGTGGCAGCAACTCTGTGGATGGTGGGTATGACGGATGTCTTCCTGGTTTTCCAATTAATCCGAAACATCCTAATATTGGGCCTACTTACAAAGTTTTGGACAATCCAGATTTGTTTTGGCGTTTCAGAGAGATCTGAAAACGCTATCCCGTCACTTCTGCACCTTTCCCAGCAAAGTACCGATACGTGGCGTAACTGTGACGACGTGTGAAATAACCTTTAAAATATATATAACAGGATTAGAATATAGAAAGCTTTACATTATAATTACGGCTTTATTGATTTTACACACTTTGTATTCAAATGTTAATACTAAAATTATGACATTTATTTGTGTAATTCATGGCAATTATAAGCAGTATATACATATACATTCGGCAATATTAAAATATAAAAACAAACCAGAAATTGGTCCTGAATATTAGATCATCTGATACCTTGAAATATTTGACCTGAAACCCACCCTGTGGAGGTGGAGTGTGTACGGATTTTAATAATCAATTAGGTGGCTGGCATTGTCGATATAAAGCATAAAATATGTTTTCAACCAATTTCCCATAACGGTGAAAGGTCTTTTGCTTTTTGAAATACCAAATTTTTATTTATCTCAGTAAAATGCCCTTAAATTACTTTGCTGACATACATTTCCACTATTATTTGTGGCCAGATCACTTCTTGAAAAAAGCTACATAGCTCAGTGGGCCTTACCTGATAATGTAAAAAATAGTTTAGTTTTTTATAGATTGTAATTTTGTGTGATTTGCTTACCTTTCCTATACTTTGCACTCCTATAATGTTTTTGTACTGTTTGTTGTAACATTCTGACCTGCCCCGACTGGACATATGAAAAAGAGCTTTATAGCTCATCAGATTCCTCCAGTATGAGTAAAAATTCTGATTTTGATCAATTTAGCAACCCGAGTTCAATTCCCGGCCATGGCTAATTTCAGTGGCGTGTGATATCTGAACCGGTCCAGGGCCCCCCTTCTCCAATTCGCACTGAAGTATGGTCCGTGAGGGATGGTGACGTCAATTTAGAGCCCTTCATTCAGTCGTGGCTGATGATGATGATGATGATGAAGTTGTTATCGAGCTGTTTTTTATTAATATTTGCTGGTTTTCTCATTTTCAGACATACATCAGGACGGTGACAAATGTCAGCTCACGACATTGTACACATCCCCGTCCGCCTCCTCCAGTGAAGCGAGTGAATCCGAGCAAAGCCATTCGCCTTCCACCGCTGCTGATACCTCCACTCTGCTCGAGTCGGTACCAACGGGGATGTCACGTACTGCCCCTGTGACAACTGTGACGACTGTTTCCAAGACATCCGCACCGACTGCGACTTTGACATCACCATCATCATCGTCGTTGTCGTCGTCAGCTGAGACTGCTGAATCTACATCTCCGGTATCACAACAGAAAACATCTGGAGCAGCATCTGTGTCCGTATCGCTGAGTGATTCGACTTCTACTGAGCAAATTTCATCACTGACTACCAATGCAATATCAGCATCATCTCCATACGAATCCACATCTCCAGAATCCTGGCAAACAACACCATTGACGTCAGCACCTACTGGATCATGGACATCGATGGACTCTTCTGTATCATCTCCATTTGCTTCATCTTCTGTGTCTGTGGCTTCTACATCTCCTGTGTCTGAGGGCTCAGGTCCACCTCCAGCATCATCAGTTTCATCTGTCACATCTCCACAATCACAGCACACAGGATCACCACTCTCTAGTTCTCCTGTATCAACTGCAACTGATTTCACTTCTCCAATGTCTCAACAGACTGAAACGTTTGCTTCGAGTGTTCCCGTGTCAACTGTGACAGCCGCTTCTCGCGTGACCGTCCTAACATCATCGCCTACGAGCCCCATATCTGCTGTGTCTCAAGCCTCAATTCCATCTCCTGTGTCATCGTTTTCATCTCTCACATCTCCAGAATCAGAGCAAACGGGGTCATCGTTACCAAGTGTTCCCATATCAACTGTGACCAATTTAACAACGTCACCTCTGAGTCCCTTGTCCACATCTCCTGTGTCACAACAAACAACGTCTGAGGCATCGTCTGTTCCTGTGTCACCAAGTGATTTTGCTTCTACTCGACTCCATTCGGCTCAATCATCTGACTCGTCTGAACAAACATCAGAACCAACTTCACCAGCGTCATGGCAAACGACAGAATATTCATCAGCGCCAAGTGGCCCATCGTCGACCATGGTCTCCTCTGTATCATCTTCCTTTGAGTCAACTCTGATGTCTGAGGCTTCTACGTCTGCTACGTCTGAAGGCCCAAGTAAATCTCCAGTGCCATCAATTTTATTAGATGAAACTGCCACGTCTCCAGAATCGCCGTTGACCGACTTCTCATTTTCACCAAGTGCCCCTCTATCAGCTGCTACTTATGTCACTTCCGCGGTATCTCAACATACAGAAACGTTAATTTCAAGCGTTCCTTTGTCAACTGTGATGGCCGCTTCCAAAATGACTTCACTGACTGTTACGCAGCAAAGCGCATCCATAAGTTCCGTGCCTACATCTCCTGTTTCCCAATTATCAACAATACCAGCAACATATGTGTCGCCGAGTGGCTCTGCTTCTACCGAGCTATATTCTTCTACCGAGCTATTTCCAACTGTCACGATGTCTGAATCATCTGCATCATCTGAATCCACATTTCCAGAATCGTGGCAAACAACGCCATCATCATCAGAACCAACTGGATCATGGATGATTACGGACTATTCTTTATCACCGGATTCATCTCCAGTGTCCGTGGCTTCTACATCTCCTGTGTCTGAGGGCTTAAGTCAATCTCCAGCGTCATCCCTTTCACTCGTCACATCTCCAGAATCACAGCACACAGTATCAACGCTGTCTAGTTCACCTGTACCAACCATGACTGATCTCACATCACCGGTGTCCGAGCAGACAGAGACAATGGCTTCAAGTGTTCCTGTACCAACTGTGACAGCTGCTTCTGGTGCGACTGTGCTAACATCATCACCGATGAGCCCCATGTCCACATCTGCAGTGTCACAGCAAACAACACCTGAGGCATCGTCTGTTTCTGTGTCACCAAGCGATTTTGTTTCTACCAAGCTATATTCATCTGAATCTTTTATGACATCCGATTCAACTGACCAAACATCAGGATCATCTGCATATGAATCCACATCTCCAAAATCGTGGCAAACAACATCATCGTCATCAGAACCAACTGGATCGTGGATGCCTACGGACTATTCTTTATCACCGGATTCATCTCCAGTGTCCGTGGCTTCTACATCTCCTGTGTCTGAGGGCTCAAGTCAATCTCCAGCGTCATCCCTTTCACTCGTCACATCTCCAGAATCACAGCGCACAGTATCAACACTGTCTAGTTCACCTGTAACAACCGTGACTGATCTCACATCACCAGAGTCCCAGCAGACAGATACAATGGCTTCCAGTGCACCGATCACATCGGTCACGGCCGTTTCTGATTTGCCTCCATGGATTGTGGTGTCATCCGCTATCTCGCCTGATGGCACCCGACCGACTAGTGCCAAATCACAACCAACGTCGGAATCTGGGGCAGCCTCGACCGCAGTTTCATCAGTGATGGCGCCAACTCCGGCAGCGCACACTGACAATCACACGGCCGAGTCGTCAACATTCCTGGATGCGACCTCTCCATCAGTATCTCTAGAATCCCTGCACACAGCGGTAACGGTTGGTTCATCGGCATCTACAGACATCGGATTTACATCGACCGGCTACTCCTCGGCGACCGCAGCGTTTTCGTCATCGTCAGCTGTGGGGTTCGTTCCTGTGCCCGGTTTTGCTCCCAGTGAGCAGCCGACGTCAGCGTCATCACCATCATCATCTTCACCAGAAGCAACGTCCTTCGGAACTTCTGAGCAGACCATCGCCGTGTCCCCACTTACACTGGGAACAACGTTTCCCACTTCACCGGAGTCGCCAAAGTCAACGCCGTCCACTGATTCGTCGCCGCAGATTCCTGCGGAACGTGGCAACGTGTCGACAGAGCGACCGTCGACTCTGAGAGTGATGCCTTCTGACGAGGTACACACACCCTCCGTCGATGCCTCATCGTTCGCGTCACAGGCCACACCGTCATCTCCGACGCAACCATCGTCGCGTTCGACTGATTACACGACTTCCGAGTGGGTGTCAGGGTCTTCGCCTCTTCACAATGCATCAGCAATGCCTCCGCTTCGAGATTCCAAAGTCTCTCCAGGTACGGATACCAGTTCGTCGGGGACGCCCGCACGCACGGCGAGCGACTCTTCTCCTACCGGTCACTCCTCTGCAGCGACGGATTCACCGACCGGTTCTGTGCCGCCTACATCGGAATCGGCACCACCAAGGCTGCTGCAGCCACCGCCGCCAAAAGCGTCGACAGCCGACCCAACACCGACATCGACGCACCCTCACACGCCTCTCTGTTCATCGGTGCACTCCACCGCCTGCACGACGCTGGCGCCGGACGCGCCGCCGACTACCGGTGACACCTCGACGCTTTCGGAGACGGCGCCGGCCAACTTGACGGCGATCTTTGCACCCGGCGATCGTGCGGAGCCAGACAGGGCGGGCCCAACAGACGGCGAGACCACCGCGAGCACAGCGGCGGCGTCCACGACCTCTAGGCCGAGGAGGAGAAAGCCGGGCGGCAGGATGTTTACGCCGGCGGGCAACGGGACGTCGGCTCCGGCGACGGGGCCCGCGGGCGCGACCACGCGGGGGGAGCACGTGGCCACGACGTCATACCTCCCCGGCATGGGGGCTCCGCCGTTCTCCCCGACTCCGGTGGACGAACCGACGCCCCAAGAGTTTGTGCCGATCTACAACTTCCTGCTGCCGAGCGAGGCGCCACTCGGCAGCGACTTGGATGACGAAACATTGAGGAATTTTTCAGCGCACGTTCTGCAAGAGGTGGGTGCGACAAATGATTGCTGCCGCATTGTAGGGTTGTAACTGTGTATGTATGTATATGTAAAAAAAACTATGTATGTAAACATTTGTATATAAACTACGTATGTAAAAAAACTAAATATGGCCAAACCGATTGCCAGTTTGACACACGTTGAATTGTCTAGAGCAGGGGTCGTCAACCTGCGGCTCCACAGCCGCATGCGGCTCTTTAAGGACTACTTCGTCACGTTATTTATTGAGGTCCGCCGTCTCGTATTCACCACAGTGCATTGCGGCTCTTGATATATTGAGTTTTAGAGCAATATAAACACGACACTGTGACCTTATTGACTGAGAAAAGAATGGAGCAGCCACAGCGGAGTAATGGTCAGCACCACACTGGACCTCCAATCCAGAGGTCGCCGGTTTGATTCCATCTGCCGGCGTGGCAGTTAAGACAAATGGGATACGTTTCTTAAATCGGTGCATTTATCACTAAATTCCACTGGAAGAAGCTACCGGTTTCTGACTTTCAAGAACATTGTTGAGACAAACAAAGACAAAGATTCCCTGTATATCCTTAACCGACTTTTGGGGCAAGTGCTATAAGCAGTCACCTGTGATGGCCAGCATGATGAACGAGGGGGTGGGTGGCCAGCACCACACCCAGCCGCCTAGGACCGGTTCTGATAATCATCACTGGTGTTGGCCATGAACCTGAATCGAACTTGGGTCGCCGGGTTCGTAGTGCAGCACGCTAACCACTACACTACCGCTCCCCTCGGTAGCGTGGCATTGTTAAGTGGAATGTTACTTCTCGGGACCATGAGAGATGGGGCCAACTTGGGGAAGATGTTCATCCAGAAACGGACAGATCGTAACTGACGATGATGGTGCACTGCAAGCCTCAGTCAATGCTCTTACGCGGATTTATGTTTCAGGTAACTCAGCTCATGAACAACACGGACCTTGAGAAGTATTCGCACAACATGGATGTCTTCATACGGTAGAAGCAACTCCGCAAAGACTCACAAGACACCAGATGCAATCACAATAACACCGTAGTATTCATATTATTATGATTGAGCGGCAGGGTGGCGCAGTGCACTGGCGGAGCCAGTGAGGGGGGGGTGGGGGGGGGTGGGGTGGCACGTGCCCCCCAATAATCCGATCGAAATTAGGGATTTCGATCGGATCAATGGGGTTTATTAGTAGTAAATCGGCATTTTGCGACCCCCACTGCCACAGTGTAACATATTATTATTATTACGTGCCAGGGACTCTATGAGATGATAGGACAATAGTCTGAGTCCATAATTTGCAATAGGTAACGGCAAAGCAGTTATAAGTGACTCACAGAATTGTGTGCAGTTGCGTACACAGTCCACGACTTCCCTGACGGCAAACACCTTCAGCGAGCGCGATGCCGATCACACAACGCGGTTCGCAATTTGACCCTCGATCGATGGCTGCGCCATCGCCGCACACGCGTCGAATTAAAAGCAAGGGACAAGTCCTCACTTACTAACAACTCCTCTATCAATTTTTCATTGCTGGAGGGGTTGCCCCCCTTACTTTAAAATCCTGGCTCCGCCATTGGCGCAGTGGTAACACTTGTGCCTCGTCGCAAGAAGGACCTGGGTTAGATTACTGAAGCGGGTGCCTTTCTGTGTTGTGGAGTTTGGACATTCTCCCACGGTTCTGCAGTCAAAACTTGTTGTGTCATTGGTGTTGGCCAAACGATCGCAATTGCAGGTCCCTCCTGACTAGGTGTGGCTTGCCTGGGTGAATGAGAAGAGGTCAAATACAGAATTGTCAATCCACTACTGGATGAAGGCCTCCGCCATGCCACTTCAGTCACGTGGTTGCTTGACCGCACTTCACCACGCAGGTCATTGGGGGCTACTGACAAATATCCGTACCATTGTTATACACCGAGAATCCCACCGCGCGAATTGCAAATAAATGCAAGCGAACGCGAAAATATTCAGCGTTGCACAAATCTGAACGTCCATTGTAACGTGTGCTTCCCCCTTTTTGTGTTCATTTCCTCAAACAGAAATATCTCGAATGAAACCTACTGCGTGACCATCGGGTGAGTGACGCGGTGCACCTCTTAAGCGCTGGTTCGTCTAGAGGAAATTCGTGCAAGCTCAGGCGACCAGGTGGCCGAGATGTCAGAGCGTTGTTGAGTCGGCACTGCTGAGATCCAGAGGCTCGAATTAAATGTTTCAGCCACCCACGATGTTAGCCAGCTTCTCACGCTTTGTGATTGTGTGGTCTCAGCCCATTTGCTGGTCGACCGCGCAAAAAAAAGTCTCAATAAATTTGATGTTACACTTATTTGGCTAAATTCCAGCTCTGCGAATTGAAACGCATAGATAATGTGTACATAAGGGTTAGATTGTCACGTGACAAACGCTCTCGCAGCAAAGTGCATGGGCGATCGTGTGAGTAAAATGCCAATGTGTGTTTTACACACATTGGCAGATTAAGTTGTCATGTAAACAATCGCTCCAATGTATCACTGCGTCAGCACACCAGCACCTATATGGTGGAGAGCAATCCACACACGTGTAACAACTGAGTGTGGACATTATGCTGGTAGTTGCATCCAGCGTCATCAGACCATTGTCAGTATTGAACTCCTGCGGTGGAATTTGAACTCCATCGTTGAGAGCCACTTGAATGAATGTTTTTTGGTAAAGGCCCTCTGAAATATCTCTTCTATAGCCATTGCTTGACACATGGCGGGGGGGGGGGGGGGGGTTAAACTGCTCTGCGATATTTCTAAATTAATTCTGCATCTCATGACGTGACACCAAGAGTACAATTGGACTAAATTGAAGGAATTTCGTAGGTCGGTCAAAGTCAAGATGTCATCGTAGCAAATGCTGTTGATGCCGTCCCAAATAAGTTGGTGTGGTTTTGTTTTGTTCTTACACTCGGTGGAACCTCAAGAGACCAGGATGGTCGAATTGTCAAGAGTGGGCTGGGTTACAAACATTCTAAAAGCAAAACGAAAGGAAAGAGGAGAAGAAAAATAAAGTAGCGAAGCAATGGCGCGAGATAGAAATGAGAACAAAAGCAACTGGCTCGAAAATATTGCACGAAAAATGAATCAAGGTGAAATATTACACTCCCTGTAGCATAAGTCACCAAACCTTTCCGTTACGAAATACCCACTCTTGCTGCCAAAATAAACCTCTTGACCTTGTCACAGACACAGAGCATTGTATTACTGTACAGCCCTGTCTGCATTCACTGCTGGATGAAGGCCTCGAGGTCACGAAAATCATTTGACCATACTTCCCCATGCTGCTCAGTGCCGATTGAGGAAGGTCGGGAACATTTGGGAGTAAGTATGTTGAACTTCATTCGCACTGTACGTAGCCAACCATGCTGATTGGAGGTGCGGGGGAAGGGCAACAAAATAAACACAAAAAAAACAGTTCTAAATAAATTAGTTTTCAACATAGATGACTTAAAATTGCAAAGCTCCAGTGGCTTCCTAATATTGGAAGGACGGCCACAGAAGCGCATCTGAAAGCACGCGATGCGGTGACCGCCTTTGTTCGCTGGCCAGCCAAAAGCCCCTGCTGCGAGGATAGACCAGAGTTTACGTGATGATGGTTTAAGCGACTTGACAAAGCATCGAAGTACAGCACAGGAACGGATTTCACCGCATCGCTCTCTTCCGCGTGCCACCACATAGGCCCCGCAAGTCCCACGTTGACCGATTTTCCAAGCGCTCTGGCAGGCCAGGAGCAATCGTTAACACGCCCGCTCAAATTTTTCCTTTCACAGGTTTACGAACGGGAGCACGGTGGAGGAGTTCTTCCGGAACAACACGGAGTACGCGTTCGAGATGGTGCTCTCGCGTCTCGACCTCAACTCGACCTCCGTGCTGTCCGGGTGGCAGCCGACCAACGTGTCGTGCATCGAACCCGGTGAGGCGGAGTGTTTCCACGGGAGCTCTGGCCCAGCGGCTACGGCGTCCGAGTGCTGAGCCCGGCACCGCTGAGAGCATGGAATTGAATCCTGGGCACTGTATTAGCCACCGCCACCTGTGATGAATTCGGGTCCTCGAATGTAGCAAGTTGATGGTCGTGTGCAGTGAGGTGACTGCGCCCTAAAACAAAACTTCATCATGTTAACGTGGCTTTTTACCCTGAACACGGCTACATTCCTGATCTGGGAATTAAAATCTCAGTTTGATTGTCACGTGATGACACGTAACAATCGCATAACAGAGTGTGTGTGTATGTGTGAATGTGCACGGTAGTGGAGAGTGGTAGTGCAGCGGCTAGCACGCCGCGCTACAAAACTTGCGATCGGAGTTCCAACGATGATCTGAACCGGTCCTGGGCCCCCCCTAGGTTAACTCAGCCTCAAACGAGTTCTTGGTGCGGTGTGTTTAAACACTGCTACTAGGGAGACAAAGGCGGCCGGGCGTGATGCTAGCCACCCACCGCTCGTGTGCTGTGCTGGCCTTCATAGGTGCTCCTTAACAGCACCTTCTGTAAAAGTCTGTAAAGGCTATACGGGGGGATCTTTGTCGTTGTTTGAAAGTACGCACACGTATTGTATGAAGATAAAAAGGCCGAGCAAAGGGGTTTTCAAAATAATTTCTGTCAAACTTTGTTGTGCAGCCACACCAGGTGGCACTCCTCGGCGAGATTTCCGAATGGATTCTTCATCCCATCCATCACATGATATCTAGTGGTCCAATTGTAATAATTGCGGTTGAAAGTAATTTTAATAATATACACATTATACATACACAAAATAAATATAATTAGTAAATCTACCAATGTCGACACATCATCACGACCTTAACATAACTCCCTTGGTCGAGTGACACGACGCACCGATCAGGCACTGAGAATAAAATTGGAACAAGATCGACAAAGGAAGATGAAGTCGAGGCATTGCTTGGCACGGCCGACCTCTGATGAGCTGAAACGGGTGTCGTGCGGGAAGACCTCAGATCGAGGACACACGACCGTACGACCATGACGATTGTACGTACACGTGTATGTTTAACTTTTTTCGCACCGTACGTAGCCAACCGCGCTAATCGGAGGTGTGGGGGAACGACAACAAACTAGACACAATAAGCAGTTCTAAATAAATGAGTTTGTGAATCGAGATGATTTAAAAGTTCATAGCTCCAGTGGCTTCCTCATATCGGATGGAAGAGCGTTCCAGACGGTCACAGGCGCACATCTCAAAGGGCGCGATACGGTGAGCGTCTCAGAGGCTTTCGATCGCTCGATGTGTCGGTGACACGGGACGGACGAACTACCGAGTACCGTATTGACATGGACGTGAGTTGTGACCACCGGCATGACCTGCAACCACCCTCCTCCGCCTCTCTCGGCAGGAGTGATGCTGAAAGACGTGGAGGTTTTGGGCGGGTCGGTCATCTGGCCCGTGCTCATCGCCCTGCTGAGTCTGCTCGCGCTCGTCCTCCTGATCCTCCTCATCTGCCTCATCCTGGTCAGTGGCGATCAGGGCCGTGCGTACTGGTTCGCATAGACTGCAATGTTAATACTCCCATAGACTTTAATATTAAATCCTCCCATAGACTTCAATGTTAAATCCTCCCATAGACTTCATTGTTAAATCCTTCCATAGACTTCAATATTAAATCCTCCCATAGACTTCAATGTTAAAGGCTCCCATAGACTTCAATGTTAAATCCTCCCATAGACGTCAATGTTAAATCCTCCCATAGGCTTCAATGTTAAATTCTCCCAAAGACCTCAATGTTAAATCCTCCCTTAGACTTCAATGTTAAAGGCTCCCATAGACTTAAATGTTAAATCCTCCCATATAATTCAACGTTAAATCCTCCCATAGACGTCAATGTTGATGCTGCCATAGACTTCAATGTTAAAAGCTCCCATAGACTTCAATGTTAAAGGCTCCCATAGATTTCAAAGTTCAAGGCTCCCATAGACTTCAATGTTAAATCCTCCCATAGATTTCAATGTTAAAGGCTCCCATAGACTTCAATGTTAGATCCTCCCATAGATTTCAATGTTAAATCCTCCCATAAACTTCAATGTTAAATCCTCCCATAGACTTCAATGTTAAATCCTCCCATATACTTCAATGTTAAGGCTCCCATAGACTTCAATGTTAAATCCTCCCATATATTTCAATGTTAAAGGCTCCCATAGACTTAAATGTTAGATCCTCCCATAGATTTCAATGTTAAATCCTCCCATAGACTTCAATGTTAAAGGCTCCCATAGACTTCAGTGTTAAATCCTCCCATAGATTTCAATGTTAAAGGCTCCCATAGACCTCAATGTTAGATCCTCCCATAGATTTCAATGTTAAATCCTCCCATAGACTTCAATGTTAAAGGCTCCCATAGACTTCAATGTTAAATCCTCCCATAGATTTCAATGTTAAATCCTCCCATATACTTCAATATTAAAGGCTCCCATAGACTTCAATGTTAAATCCTCCCATAGATTTCAATGTTAAATCCTCCCATATACTTCAATGTTAAAGTCTCCCATAGACTTCAATGTTAAATCCTCCCATAGATTTAAATGTTAAATCCTCCCATAGACTTCAATGTTAAATCCTCCCATAGACGTCAATGTTGATGCTGCCATAGACTTCAATGTTAAATCCTCCCATAGACTTCAATGTTAGATCCTCCCATAGACTTCAATGTTAAATCCTCCCATATACTTCAATGTTAAAGGCTCCCATAGACTGCAATGTTAAATCCTCCCATAGACGTCAATGTTAAATCCTCCCATAGACTTCAATGTTAAATCCTCCCATATACTTCAATGTTAAAGGCTCCCATAGACTTCAATGTTAAATCCTCCCATAGACTTCAATGTTAAAGGCTCCCATAGGCTTCAATGTTAAATCCTCCCATAGATTTCAATGTTAAAGGCTCCCATATGCTTCAATGTTAAATCCTCCCATAGACTTCAATGTTAAAGGCTCCCATAGACTTAAATGTTAAATCCTCCCATATAATTCAATGTTAAATCCTCCCATAGACGTCAATGTTGATGCTGCCATAGACTTCAATGTTAAAGGCTCCCATAGACTTCAATGTTAAATCCTCCTATAGATTCCAATGTTAAAGGCTCCCATAGACTTCAATGTTAAATCCTCCCTTAGACTTCAATGTTAAATCCTCCCATAGATTTCAATGTTAAATCCTCCCATAGACTTCAATGTTAAAGGCTCCCATAGACTTCAATGTTAAATCCTCCCATAGACTTCAATGTTAAAGGCTCCCATAGACTTCAGTGTGGTGGGGGAGCGTCCGGCCGTGGCGCAGGGACACGTGGCGCACCACGAACACGGCATCACCATTATCACAACCGCCCGCACCATTACCACCACGACACCACCAATGCCACCTCCACCACCAAAAACAACCACCACCGCATCACTGTGACCAACATTACCACCATTTTATTCGTTGCGCCCTCTGTGTTTACAATTTTCGCACGACAAGTCAAACTGTCGCTGTGATTCTTAGAGCTGAAATATTTGCCAAATCAAGCATCAACATCAAACTTTTTGTGCAGTTTTTGGCTTCCTTGAGTCGAGACCATCGACTCACTCGCTCTGTTTACTAGCCCAGTTTAACCAGAGGGTAGCTGCCTAGACCCAAACCCCAAGTTCCCAGCGATACCGGATGCTCGTGTATACAAGTACGTATGCTGAACTTCTTTCACGCCGTACGTAGCCAACCGTGCTAACCATGTTGCGTGCTGCATGAATCTGAACCCCGCGCTGTGACCGTGCGTGCGGGTCGGCGCTCAGGCTCGGCGACGCAAGCTCAAGTACAGCGTGGACGAGGTGGGCATCTCGTACCGCACGCACGACCTGCGCCCGTGGAGCATGAGTGGCATCCCGCACGTGCTCTACGAGACTGCCATGGAGGCGCCGCCCCCCTTCGACGCCGGCGATGCGCAGGTTCGCAACACGGCGTCGGCGCCCACCCGCCAACTCGCCCGCCCGCTCGCTCGCCCGCCCGCCCGCCCGCTCGCTCGCCCACCCACTCTCGAGCCCACGCGGGCAAGTTGGCACAACCGCCAGATGTATAATGATAACAATAATAATAACGATAATAATTATGTTTTGTCGCGGCATCTGTGCGATTTGCACCACGGAAAACTGTAGAATTTGCGATGCGAATTTCCAAAGAATAATAATGGGCACTTTTGGCACACATCGTCATGCTCCGTTCACTGCTGGACGAAGGCCCCCCCCCACTCCTCCCCCCTAATCTGCTGCCATCTTTCACGGTCATGCGCACGAGCTGATTTCATCACTCCATCTCTGCGGTGGACGGCCCCCCTCGTTTGCGTAATTGCCTCCTTTTAGCTGCCACTGCAATGTTGGTCTCGTCTAGTGCCGATTCAAACATTACTCGTCACTGATGGCAGACGTAGCCAGGAAATCATGTCACCGGGTTCACGGGGTCACCGGGTTCGCAACGGAAGTGCTACAATTCGTGGCCAATTCATCGTCATCGTGGGTTGTGAACGGGGCACAATCCCCCGCGGTGATCGGATTACTCATCGGCTGTTACTTTTGCAGGTATCGTTGGCGGAGCCACAGCAAGGCACAATCGACAAGAGCAAGTTAGTGGTGAGTCGACGAGTAACTCCTCCACATGCTCGCTAGAGAGAGGCCTTGTGCTTCAATGGAGCAACACCGTTAAATAGCATGGTCTACTCTGCTGCTGGGTTTTTGCGGGTGTGTCCTAAATACGGAACGCTTGGCTCCATGTGTCGGGAGCCTCTTGAATTCAGTTCTTGAGGAATCCATAATTCAGTTCTTGAGGAGTGCGGTGAAACGTCGGACATCGTGCCGTTCCATTCCGCAACCTCCAATCTTCCTCAGGTGCCCTCCTTCCGTGTCGAGCCCCACCATAGGACTATGGACACTGATGGATACAAATTATGAACCACGTTCGTTATGAGAAGGAAAGCACTTTTGACCTGACATTTTGTTGACCTTTGACCCCACAGTTTCTACGAGCTGTCAAACTAGTGAGGGTTCATTTGACATGTTGACGTCGGAAGGCGAGCCAAGTGGTTTTAGTTAACACGGCTGCTGAAAAATTGGCAGCCATTAGTGAATCACTCTTGATGTGACCCCCAGGTATCGGTACGAAGTGATGTCTTGGCATGTACATCAGGTATTTTGATCTGATCAGCTTGAACATGCCTGTAGCCCTAACTCGACCGTGCTCGAGTTAGGGCTACAGGCTGCCCGTTATAAAGCAAACTAAGCAGAATTGTTGGGTCCCATTGTAGCTCAAGGGATTCATGGCACAAAAATAAATAGGGGCGCAGCGCATATCACCTTGAACTCGGATGCTTATATAATAAAAATACAAACAATCGTTCTCGTAAATAGATAAAGGTGCAGCCAAGCAATTGCCTGCTCACACCACTGCTGGTGGAAGAGCTTCCACTAGGGGGAGCTCTTCAATGCTGGCCAGGTGTCTTTGAAGAGCATCGTTCTAGTAACAAAAATTAAAATGTTTAATTGTCGTAAGACTTGTAGCACAATAATTCTATGCAACTGTGGTGTAATCAAGTTACGTGGATTTTTTTCCATCATAGAATGTATGTAGCCACGTTAAGCACCAGAGAATAACTTCTGCTTAGGTTCTCCCCAATGGGCCAGGACCACAACTGAATCTACAGACAAATCAAACTGGAGTTAACCCCACTCGTGTGGGGTCGGTCTTCCTGCTGCTGCCCCGCTCTCTCTCTCCACTCTCTCCTGTCCACCGTGATCTCCACCATCTCCACATCTCTGCTTCACCACTCACCCACCAACCACCACCAACCACATTAGAACTCTACCTCGGTCTAGGCCCTGCCTCCCGGTCTCCGCCCTGGTGCTTCCACGTTCGTCGCCTTTACTCAGACGTGGTTTTCTCCTCTTCCTACGCCGCATCCCGCAAGCCATCTGAATCCGACCCCTCTCTGTTCGTCTTGGGGACTTCCATCTCTGGCACCGAACAAAGATGGTCACCGCATCGCGCGCCTTCAAATGCGCTTCTACGACCGTCTGGAACGCTCTACCTTCCGATATTAGGAAACCACTGGAGCTATGCACTTTTAAATCAGCGATATTGAAAACTCATTTCTTCAGAACTGTGTTGAGTTTGTTGTCCTTCCCCCGCACCTCTGATAAGCACGGTTGGCTCCGCACGGTGCGAAAGGTCAACATACATACATACTACTCTGCTTGCAATCTTCCCTGTCTCTTGAATGCTCTCCCGATCCCGTCTTGTGATGCCTAAGATGCATCTTGTCATTAAACTAAAATTAAATAATAAATATTTGACCAGGTAAGGCCCACTGAGCTGTATGGCTCTGTTTCAGAAGCGACCTGGCCACAAATGATAACTCAACGAAGTGGCTTATCGTGTGCCAATTTATGGCAGCCAAGTACTCTAAACGCGTGATTCTAAATGTTGAGGGAAAAAAACATGTAAACTCCAAATATACAGCAGGCGTCAGGGTCGCGATCGATCCCCACGACCTCCTGTGTACCAGGCGAGGGAGTTAACATCTCGCCGCCACGGCCCTCCGTGGGTCACCCGGTTCACCTCAGCTCGGAGCCACAAAAAGGCGTGGCATTGATGTGTTACATTATTACTGATGCCAGGATGATAGAAGCTCACCGCTCCTTTTTTGATGTGGCTGGTGGGTGGGCGGGGGGTGGGGTCGGCTTGGCAGCACCTTCGTGACACTCGTCTGTGGTTTGGCTTACCCGGTGTCACCACGCCGGCTGTACACACTGTCGGATTAACCACAACTGCAAAGGGCGCCACGAGTGTCAAAGGCCGAGGGCCTTCAAAGGTCCCTTTGTTCTCACGGGGAAACGAACCGCGCTCTCACGCACGGCCAGGGTACACGAACACCGTGAGACCAGGACAGGCGAAAAACCCTAACGACCTCGTCCTTCGTGGAACGAGCGGTATCCTCCGCCTGGTCATTAGCCCCAGGACTCCTTGATGTGTTCTAACGCAAACGGGTTTAGTACACTATGATAGATGTGTGCTTAGTCATTTTGCAGGCTTTTTTTTTACACTTAAAATGCGTGTTCCAGTCGCGCCAGCGGGTGTAATATTTAGTTATTTACGTTTGCCAACAGCCGCACCCGGAAAGTCGGAAAACTCTACGCCTGCTGCGCACTGGTGGTTTGCAGAAATATTGTAATAACCTGACATTCTTACATTATATATTGGTGAAGAAAAACTAAACTAATATAACTTTACCGGTGGCGAGGCTCCCACAAGGGCATACGGGAGGGCGTGTGACACACTTTGGCGCCGGCTATCACGAAATGCGGTCGTGTCGCTACGGTTCTCTGCGGTGAGTAACAATGTCTTTAACAACAACGGCGCCGCCACGCCTCTCTTAATAAAGTTAACGCCAAGCCGCTTGCGTGTTCAGCGGTGAATGGGACCACCCACCCAGCAACTTGCAGGCGTCTCGCAACGGGAAAGTGGTTAAACCCATACTGCTTGATATTATTTGTTCTGGAAAGCCCCTGACGACTGAGGTTCCACGTGCTGTGCTTCTCTTCAGGTGTCCATATGAGCCTCTTGCCGGCCTGCGCCGGCGGGAGGCCACCACGTCTTGCAGCGGTAGCAAGCGGGGCCATGTGGGAACGCCGTCAACGCAAAACGAAATCCACGGGCGGACGCAGTCCAGGCTGAGGTGGACAACAACGAGGCTCACGTCACCACCTCCTTGAAGCCAGGTCCACACCTGAAAGTGATCGGTTGCATACAACCTGGTTGGATGCAACTGAATGTCTTATATTTGGAGGTGGCTGCAACCAGTTGCGAGCAGTTGCTCAACCGGTTTCTTGCAGGAGAGACAGGCTCAACTTTCCAAGCGACCTGTTTGGCGATTTGCAGCGACGTACTTCATCGCGTGACACATTCACAAACTATTATTGGTTAACTTAAGGCGTTGGTTTTATTCTTGACAACCTGGAATTTTTATTCTGAAATCCCGGATCTTGTCCTGACCACGTGTAACGTGGTTTGAAGTGAAACGTCATTTCTAATTGCTGAAGTTGGTTGTGAGAATTGTCCTTCAACTGAACCCGCGGTGAGCTGAAACGACAACCACTGGCGCGTGGTCAAATGCTCGTGCACGTGCCAATTCAATTCGTTTTTGCAACCAACGCGGCCTCACTCAAAACATTAATGACGATTGGTTGTTACGATCCTGATGTAGGTGAGGTGGAGTGGGGTAGCTAATCAGAAAAGGGGTGGGGCTATTCTATACAGGGCATGGCCAGACACGCCCTTGATGCACTCAACTACTTGCTCACATGTGGACAAAGCAGTTTGCAGGCAATTTTCCAAAGCTACTTGGTTGGGCAGTTGGCCTCTCCGGTGTGGACCCGGCTAAACAGATGAGCGCTCAAAACATACCGTGCACATTTTACCACCTTGGGAAATAAAGCAAATTAAAAATATTCAAAGGGGAATTTTGATTGAGACAATAGTGCTGCATATCTGGGGCCCTCGTTACGTTTACTCAAACACATTCCAGGGTAATATTTTAGGGGCTTGAATGTAACGCTCAGTAAGGTTAATAGCACAAGGCAATGTCATCATTTTCATGAGGCTTTTGGATTGTCGAAATTTGTTGACGTGCACACAACTCTAATGGCGCCCATTCTGAACGATGTAGTTGCAACGTCGTCTGCAGCTCAGCGTTGCGTATCCGTCGCATGCTGTAGACTGAGATATGGGCGGACGTGTGAACGTCTAGTAGAAAGTCACAGTTACACCATCGTGCACGAATAGGATTACTGGGCAAACGCAAATCGCACGCACGGCTTGAAACGTGGGGACACGCAAGTAAAGCGAATGTGTGCGCGATGTTGTGAAAATATTATGATTTGTGAACATCTGTGGAAAAAATCACAGTTTACACCATGTACGTATGCCACGGTTAGTTGGTCAGGGCGGATTTGCGACGGTCGGATATGCGACGTTGTACGGTACAACCACTTGCATCTGCCACCCAAGCCAACCATCTCTCTTCGACTAATGTGACAGAAACCCCCATGAACTGGAAGATAATGCGTGTTGTAGGTGAGAACAAGATAGCGTATACTGTGATGCTAAAGTATATTTAGCCTGCAGAGCATCTAGGCATAAAGTCCACTGTTATTTGGGAGCCTAAGAGAGGCGTGCATATGTACAGCAACACGATCTATGCACCGGTTTTACAAAGGGCATTTTAAAATTGGTACTTGTGAACCAGATTTGCATTAAATTAACTGCTTATTCCTTAAAGCTTAAAGCTGTATATCAAATGTATAACTTTCCTAGTTGTCCACTGATTTTGTGCCTTCAATAATACTCTCAAGGTAGATATCGTATTGTTGTGTTCAGTGGGTAGCTCAGTGGCCTAGCGATGGCGAGCAGCACATCTGGGCTTCGAGATCAACTCAGAAGTGCTTTGGCGTAGCACATGGTCGATGTCAGCCTCTTCACTCGCCCCCGAGTTTCATTCCAATCGTCATATCGTTGTCACATCACGGGATGAAGAATCCGGAGGAGTGCAACCGTTCGGCTTGGAGATCGGCCCGTGGAAGCAGACACGGCATGACCGTCACGTGCTCGGGAGACGAATGTTGTCGCACGACAGTAAGGAGCATGGGAGATTCAGACGGTCACTCGTCACAATAAAATCATTCTGATGGCGTTGGCCCGGTGGCTCGCGGGGTTCATGAGGTCCACGTGGGAGCCCTGAACTCCAGTGGTGGTGCCAGGCAAACGCAAAATAAGCAAAAGCATAGGGCCCCCCAAAATAGCTCAAGGAGTACCCACATTCACAGAACAAAGGGGTGTGCCACATGGCTACTCGAATTCAGATCCGAAAATGACATTATATTAAGCCAATTATATATAAGCCCATTAATCTCTCTGTCATCTCTATCTTGTCTGTAGCTGCCTTCTCTCATCTCATTACATTCTTGTCCCGCGTGCTGTTCGGCATGATGTCTGACGTTTTGCAACCACGTGCTGGGAGTTTATGCAGGAACTCCTGAACGTAGAGATAGCTAAACAAGCTCATGGCGCATGGAGCGAAACGTCGGACATCATCCCAAGTTTAATTGATGATTGGAAGCGTGCATCCTTGCAGGCCTTTAAAATGAGGACAAACATAATGGATAGACAAAGCAGACTAACAAATAAAACATAAAGCAACATGACAATGAATAAAAAATATTATTGCAGTTATATGCATTGTGTGGGCGGGCCGAGGGACACGGCAGTTAGCACACTGCACTATGATCCTAGCAACTTAAGTTCGATTCCTGACCGTGATAAGCATCAGTGGCGAGTGATATCTGAAAAAAAGATTCTTACTGCCCCCCCCCTTTAGCAAAGTGGACTGACTGGCGTGGTGAAGTATGGTCGAATATGGGATCCTCCAATATTGGATTTTAAAATGCTAAGAAGTTGCTACGTTTTATCACTATTATTATAATTGCACATCATGGTAGGTTTTGACACAATTGCAAATACAAGGAATGCTTGACGATGATTTAAATCGCCGTACGCATGTACTGCACTGTTAAGAGTTGAGTTGCATTTGTATATATTGGGCAATGATAACAAGAGGAATATTATGATTTTGAACAAGCAGGAATTGCTGTGACGGTACTGTTCTCTGTGAATTTGTATAAGCATTGTTGCTCTCTTCGAATTTTAGTAATAAATTTGCTGCTCACGTACGATCGAAAAGTCACACCGCATCTGCCTGAACTCGATAACTTCGCAACGTCACGGATGAAGTCTCAACCCCTATTCGCACCTCTTCTTTTCAGGGCATCCAGGCAGTTTCTCATCTCCCGTTTACAAGCCATGAGCCAGTGGTGGAAATTCCACGTTCCGGTGGCGAGTCTACGCAGGGGACAACCGCTTCTCCGTTGACTTCCCGCGCATGGAGAGATCGATTGTGGCGGAGGAATTTGCGGCCAAGATCCGAACGTGATCGGCTAAAATTTTAAACAGTGGCTGCTGCTGTGTGGCCAATATTATCGAGAGTCAATACACGTTCCGACCCGCCCCTACTCGACGTCTGTGAATGAGAGCTTCATAGCTCATCGGATTCTTCCAGTATAAATACAGATTCTGATTCTGGTATTCAATGCATTGGCGGCACTGGCTTCGTGCATAGCCACGTGGTGGCCACGTGGGCAGTGTTCCTTCCTGTGAGTCATAGGGGCCCCCAAGGTTCAAACCCACGTGTGTGTTGTGTCTATCATGTTGGACTTCTTTCGCACCGTATGTAGCCAACCGTGCTAGTCAGAGGTGCATTATTACGTTCACTCGTGCGTTCGGATCAAAATCTCGGTGGTACAATGTATCATATGTTTCGCTTTTAAAGGATACAACTTAAAACGACGACGATGTAATAACCAGAACGTTTGGTATCTCACGCAAAATCCGCGTGATGTAGCGGATAGCAACGACTGCCTGGTGCGGTCAACCATCTGAGTTCAAATCCGGGACGTGGTGCTTTGGCTTGGTTATTTTTTTACATTCCATGCAAGATGTTCCTTGAACGTGATGATTTTAAATACACCTGATTGCATCCAACGCGTAATAACATTATAATTACCTGATGTCATATATACACACACACATGCACTGTTTGTTAGTAAGCACTTATTAAGCACGAACCACGGTGTTATACATTTACATGCACGCGGTGCTGTCAACGCCATCACGTGCAGGACCCTGTGACAGCATTCGCACTCGGTAGTCGAGTGATGAGTATGTCGCCCTGTGAATTAAGGAAGGAGTCTCCGGGTTCAAATCCAACTTTTTAAATAATTGCATAACTTAAAACAAAGTAAACTCGAGGTATGTTTTTTGCTGCATAATTTATTTCACAAAATAGTAATTCCATGTAACAATGTCAAAAAAATTTGAATGATTCAATAACAGGAAACAATTCGCAACAACCACTCAGCCCTCGTGGTGTGGTGGGTTGCATAGCTGGCCTCTGAAGTCGCTGATCTAGGTGCAAATCCCGCACTAAACTATTGATAATAGATACAAATTAAGTGATGACGTAATGACGGGCAGTGACAATTCCGACAACCGCGTGGAGCTTCGCGGGTGGCTCCAAGAGAACAAAGCCCAGAGTCAGAAGCGAGCGGTGAACAATATGGGACCAAAAGGAGCATGAGACACAGTGAGGTGCCTCTGTGTTCAATGGGCTACGCAAACAGTGGTTCTGCTTAACCTGGGGTGCACGACATGGGCCAGATTCTTTTAGAATGTAAAAATCATCCAAAGACAAATTACGCACGGGCGCACCTAAGTATAACTACTTTTTTTTTCATCAAACCCTATGTTCTTTGGTTCTATCGGTAAAGTCACGTAGAATGAGACTAAAATAATAAATTGATAAAATTAAATAACACAATAACATTCTGGCCGAAACGTCGTGAGAATTTTATCAATTTATTATTTTATTCTCATTCTACATGACTTTACCGAAAGAACCAAAGAAGATGAATCCTTGCAGTCACGAAAGCTTTAAATCGAAATCAAACCCTATGTGTGTGTTAACATTACATACATTTTTAACGATTAAGAAGCAAACGCTGCAGTACAGTTTAGGAATAACTGGACTAAAGTGTGTTGGGTGCAAATGGCAGGTGCGTGCTCCAAGGAGATGGAATGGAAGGTGACGGAGACCTGGATCACACGCGAAGGAGATATGTGGGAAGGAGGAAATGAGCTTGATGGGAAAATAAATTTAAACTCTGCCACATTTTTTTGTATCACTACGGGGCGCTATTTTTTTTTACGAAAAAACACATTGAAAGTTGCATTTGCTTGACAATAATCGCATTTAAACCGGGTTTTCAGGATTTTGAAGCTGAAAGGCCACGGTTTGCTTGCTAAATCACGGTGAAATCTGGCACTCAAACCCCAAAAATCTACGTGAAAATTGTTCAATTGTCATTTTCAATCACCATCTCTCCGATTTGGCATTTAAACGGCTTCCAGGGCGAAAACTTTTATTTTTACAACAAAGATGACCAGACTATAATTAACCAAACAAACATGCTGTCAAGTATTACCAATCTAATACATCTCGCTGTTAAAATCTTTAAAAACTCTATAGGACATTGACCAGCGTGGCAAAGTATGGTCAAACAGCCACCATGATCCGCACACATTGGATTGACAACAAAGACTGCGTGTGCCGTACAAACGGCAGCCACTTAAAAAAGGCTAAAGGAGAGGAGAAGAAGAAGATACCCAGCTGTAAAACAAAAACATTAAAAACTGACACAGCAAAAGACGCTGTCTTGAACATAACACGCAACTTTAAATGTGAAATCCCAGTGTAAAAAAAAAACGAAGCAGTCAATGCGAAAACATTCTCTCCTAGCTCTCCCTTGTCGTGATCTCACCTTGCTCACCTCCCCGTGATTTCTGCTCCGGCAGCTTGAGGTGTCCTGTCCCACCACCCAAGTCAAGCGCTGCTCAATAGGAGGTCGCCCCGCCTCCTCTTCTGCTGCCCACTCTGTCTGGAAGTCCAGTCTCCTCGTCGGCCTGAAGCCCTTCCTCTCTCTCTCTCCTCCTCTGCCCTTGACTCTCCCGATGAAGCGCCTTCTCTCCCTGCCTCTCCTGTATCCTCTTAGCCATTTTCTCCTCCCGTGCTAATAACATCACGCGGCCAGGCCCTTCTATGTGCCGGGTTAGTCATGCCGGGCCATGTCTGTACACCAATCACAATCGGACTCCCTTCATAAATCCGCGCTGTTGCCGTGCCGTGCCGAGGATTTCACCGAGATTATCGCCCTTTAAGCCACACGGGACACGCCAGCCCCATGAGTTGAGAGTTAATAATTGGATCCCTGAACCCGGCGCATAAATCTCTACCCGCCGTCTGCCTGCCTGGAGAGTCCCGTGTCGCCTGTGAAAATAAACCCGCGCGGTGCTCACCCGAGTCACTAAAGTCTGTTGTTGTTGTCATTGTTGTTCACTGTTCTCGTCTGGTGTTGAGTAAAGAGCTTCCACACTCGCCACAGCCGCCACTCTCATCTCACGTGGAGGATTCATCGCCATGGCGCGTGGCTTTGTCCCGCGAGGTGCCCACGTGTTGATGGCGATCCTACGGGGGTGAACAAATGGGCAGAGGGAGGAAACAACGTGAGCAGTTGAACGGAACTCACTGCCGTGCTGTCGGCTCCCTGCCCCCATTCAAATCCAGATTCTTCTGCCCTTGAGCAAGGGCTTTACTGTCTCACTGGTTATTATTGATTATTATTATTTGGCTGCTGTAGATTTCCACGCGACGAGCCACTTCGTTGAGCAATCATTCGTGGCCAGGTCACTTCTGAAAAAGAGCTACACAGATCTGATTTGGGCTTTAGCTGGTTAAATAAAATAAAATGTTTAGTTTTTAATAGATTGTAATGTTTCTGTGATTTGCTTTACCTTTCTTATACTTAAAAAAAACTTAGTTTGAGTTGTATTTTGTGTATATATTTTAAAGTGATTTGTTTACCTCTTCCTATACTTTGAACTCCTATCGTGTTTTTCTTATTGCTTGTTGTAGTAACGTTCTGACCTTGCCCAGACGGGACATCTATGAAAAAGGGCTTTATTGTTAATAAGATTCCTCCAGTATGAAGACAGATTCTGATATTTTGTGGTTCGCTGATAGACTGGAGTCGGCCAAGTGACAGCACCGTGAGGTGGAAGAGGGGTGAGGGGTCGCTGACACAGAGAGACGAAACTGAGATTAAGCCCAGCCCAATGACTTTCTCTTGAATGAAGTAATTCTAAATATAGTGCACACATTTGCCTTGCACAGAATCCCGAACATTTTTAGACACTATTTATAAAAAAAAAATATCGTGTTAACATTGCAGTGGTCTTTTTGTATCAAGTTGAGTATGGAGACGTCTGAATAATCCGTGAAAAAAAAAACCTGGGAGAGATCCGCACGCTCAACCGGACTGCCTCTCAAACTCTCTGTTAAGCCTCACGGCAGCAACACGTGGTCCGACGCTGCCTCCTGGGGGAGTGTGCCTCTGCCTCGAACTCAAACAACGCAGCGCACGCGCCGCCTACCGAATGCCAAAGCGCCTCTCTCTGCTCAACTCAGATCGAGTCTTCTGGTCTCCGTCGACAGTTCGCATGTTGAACTTCTTTCGCACACGTACGTAGCCAACCGTGCTAATCCACCCCCGAGCCAGCGCTGGAAAGTCAACATTCCTATGGTTGGTGCCAGTCTCTCTCCACAGAACCAGCCGACCCCAGTTAACCTTCCACAAAGTGGTACTCATTTGTATCGACCATGCAGGGGATGATAGTCCTTAGTCGACCGCCGACCGGGATTTGACGCAGTGGACAAATGTGTACGAATGAATTCATACGTAGAGCACACAAGAGCTGTGTTGAGCATCACCGGACTCGAACAGGGATAGTTAAAAAAAAAACAAGCCAAATGAATCATCCTGAATCCACAGGATGTTTAGTAAAAGCGGTTTCAAACGTCACGTTTATTTTGTTTGACCAGGAGAGACTCATACACAAGAGTAATCTGGGTACACCGATTAGCGTGGTTGGCTACGTGCGATGCGAAAGAAGTTCCACACATTGTGCACTAGGTACGGAACGGCAATAACGTGCGAGGTGCAACTCAGCACTGGCGCTAATGGACATCGGAGCAAAAACAACCTCTTTGCGCCAGACGTGCAAAAACAGTGCGCG